TATCCCTCAGAAAGGGAAGTCCAGAGGATTGTGGCTGTTGTATGTGGCACAGGGGACATATAATCTGTGGTCTGTTTTAGAGCAAGAGTCCTCGCGGCCCTGAGTCAGGCCTACTTCAGTCTCCCATGAAGAGAAGCATTCACAGTATTCCTGCTGCCCCAGACCCCCTCCCTCTGAAGACATAGAAACAGTATTAATATGCCATGAATGGAGACAGACAGACAAGCATTATCCAGCGCTGCAGCAACTAGTGAAGCAGGATGCCTTGTAAGAAAGCCAGAAGAAAATATTTCTCTGCATGAATGGTGAAGTCCCCTTGACCACCGCTGCTGGTGTCATATCAGCGAAGCCTGCAGGCTCTGTGTCTGTCGGGTTTCCGGCTCGCTCGCTCGCCTCGGGTTATCCTCGAGGAATTTTTAAATACAATTTGCTGATTTGAGATTTCTTTCAGAATAATAACAAACATTGAGGATTCCTGCGGTTTTGGTAGTGGCTGTGTTCTTTGGCGGCGTTTGTCACTGGATTTCAGTCAGATCTAGTTCAAATAGCACATTATACACTGATGAATGAGCAGTAACAACTGAGGATTCTTATCTCATTCGAAAGTGGTTTCATCCTTTTGGAGAATCACTGTTTCACCCAACTTAAGCTGTTCATAAATTCATGCAGTTGGAAAAGACTATTATTACTGCACCTCAGGTCACAGGTAAGTACTAAAGCGTCTCTAAAATCCACAGACTTGAACATGAACTCTCCATATTAAATGACTACCTTGCATTGATCCTGCGTCTTGGCCTTTGGTTGTCATGGAGATGTAATTGGACTTCCTTTATATTCTACCTATAAGTGTTCCTTTCACTGCGTGAATGAAATGGCATGGGAACAGCCCAGTCCTTTCACAACTGTGTGATTGCACTCCTATGAGGTCTGCGTTTGGCCACAGGCAGAGTGGCAACTGTCTTCATTAGTTAGCCGGGCTCACGACTCGCAGGCTCAAGAAGCGCCGAGCTTTGCACAGTGCTGTTGACATTGACATGCAATATAGGAAAGGCTTAGAAATCTTACATGTTGTCTTGTATGTGTAGATTGCACTGAGTACACGTTCCTGCCTTCTGATCTGAATCCATCACTGCTTTATTTTTCTATTTTTGTTTTATTTGTTGCTGAGAAATTTGTGACAAGCTGTCCACGTTTCTTTATTCTACAGCAGCTTTGCCTAGGTGGCATGAGACAAAAAGGCTCAAATGTAAGAAACAGAAATGGCTTGATAAACATCTGTAACAATAGTTAAAATAGGCAACTTTTTTAAAGAGAAGCAACTCATAAACAGCAAAATCTTGCTCTGTTTAACTTTCTAAACCACAAAACCCACTGTGGGGTTTCAAAGACATGTTATCTTTAAACAGTTTATCAGAGAACAAATAGTAAAAGCTGTAGTCGTTGGATTTAAAAAAAAAACAAAAAACAACTTTCTGACAGTTCTTTAACTAACCAGTTGTGACGTGTGGTTTTGATACAAATCCACATTTAAGCTTCAAATCATATTTCATAAAAATTACTTTATTTTGCCTGTCTCATTTGAAATTTTAACAAATATTAACAGTTTCCTCTAAAGCAATCCTGTAAAAAAACAAAAAATTCTGCACTCCCAGGTGCAACTATGAAGCCATGAGTGACTCAGATGTGACTTACAGTCATGTGTAAAAAATTCGGAGACTTTTTCCCTGAACTGGGCTAAACTGATGGGAATGAAAGAAAACACTTATTTGTTTCTTTGTTTTTATTTAATGATGTCTAGTCACATCTTTGTGGAAGGGTTTTTTGTTTTTTTTATTCCCACCAGTCAAACTATTGATTTCTGACTTGCATGTCTTAGTCTTAAGAAAGCTGTGGCCGTTTTGCACTTCCCTATTGGACAGCTCATCCCCACAGTGACTGCTGTAAAGGGCTTGCTCTAAGTGCTCTGCCTTGTCTGAAAAATATTCACATGGCTGCACAACACAAGCCCAAAGTCAGGAGAGCGTGCGCTGCATGACTACCTTTTGAGTACATTCATTCGCTAATAGATGGGCATGTACATGTTTCCTCTGCAGGGAATAGCATGATGAAACTGTTGGAAAGATGTTTACTCTCCTTTTTAATATTTGGCTGTATCACAAAGCTCAGCAGAAGGCTCGATTGAAAGAAGCCAGAATAAGGATGAAAAGTGTTTTTATCAGTTTGTGAAACCTGGGATCAAATCAGGAAGCGGTAATAAGCTCTTTCTTTGTCCTTTTTAAGTAGAAGCGTGTCTCGTGTTGCCAGCATTGGTGTCGCAATATCAAGGTGTTCAGCAAGAACATGTTCATCAGTCATCGTCTGAACATTATTAGAGCCTGGTCAGAATGCCCACTGAGGGATTTACTTCAACCACAATATCCTGCATATTAATCTAAGTACACAAACACCTACTTAATTGAACCCTAGTAGTTTCTTCATCCCATATTTTCCTCGAGTGTGAATTAGAATAAACCATCTCCTAGAGTGTCTTTTTAATAGAAAGCAGTGACTGCACAGAATCTGAAAGTTGCACAAATAGAAGCACTTGCTCAGTGCCTCTTAAATTAATCATGTCCTCCACCAACACATATGTCTGTTGAAGAAAGAATCACACACACACACACACACACTGCTTCTCAAGAGGCCAAAACGCATTAAGATGCATCCCCGGGGAGTTGTACTTTTGGTGCTACACAGTTTCTCGATAAAACCCTCTTGGGCTCCTGCAGCATCTGTGAAGGTTAGCAACAGGACTGGCTTATATCACTTACAGCAACACAGTGACGCGTCATCTAGCCTCAATGGATGGCACATAGAAAACAATGAGTCATGCTCCATTAAGAAAAGGTCACTAAAAAAACAAAAAAAGCTCATTGATGTAAACGTAACCATTAGTAACCTTATAACACACTTTTACACAAAGTGACAGTTACTAATCTTGTCCCTTATAGCTGAGTCACTCCACTAATGAGTATTGAAGAGGAGGATGGTAGAGGTAGGAATTCAGGGTTTCCCGATGTCCTTTATGGATTAGCAGGGGGGTTTCTTTTATGTCTACATGATCACACAGGAAATAAAGGAAGCAACATGCACTTTGATATATCGTAATCTGGCCAAGCTATTGATACAGTGGAGATACATGTAGTGACCACACCTGTCAGTCACTGGCAGAATGTAATATCTGATATGATATGAAAATAAACAGCATTTAGCCAGAATAGCAGTGTGCCTGCATTTCAGTAGTGAACCATGGACTGTGTAAAGGCCACCTTTTGGTTTTGACATGTATCAGTTAAAGAAACAGTTTGAAAACTATGTGATTTAAAAAAAAAACGACTGATTCACTCTGAACATTTGCTGTTTGCTTACTCATGGTGGGGGATTGTAAACTGAGTATCTTTGGGTTTAGACCATCAGCCTAAAAAGTAAAAGGGAATCTGGCCGTTTTCTGGCATGAACTAAAAGATTCACTGAGAAAATAATCAGTAATTTATCAAATAAAATAACATAGATCTCTATCAAATTCACTTCATACCTGTGATGCAGATGCAAATCGTCCCACTGTTTCTCTTGAAAAGGATCAAAAGAAAGCTTCCCAGAATGCCGTCATTGTGTGAGAAAAAGCCCCCTCTTTGCAAAAACATGTCGTGCAGTGTTGTTGGTCAGTGTGTGATTTTTATACAAATACGTTTTACATTTTTGCTTGTTGTTTTCTGTTTTTTGAGGGGTTGAATAATCTTCTGGAAGCAGATAATTGCTGGCTAAATGGATGCATGGATGGGTGACGGAGAGAAAGGGAGAGCAACAATTGGATTTGTAGGTTAATAGCATCCTCATTGACCACATAACTTGCTCATCATGCCCCATTTCTGGCTGCAGTCAGAGCCAAACAGTCCTGTGCTAAAACCAAAATGTAAGTACTGCTATGAATGAGCTCGGTTGAAAACAGCAGAAGATTGGCAAGTGGCACTATTAGAGCTTTTAGCGCCCAATTTATCCTCCTGCCCACTGATGCAATAATCCGTGATGTAAAACACCAGTTTGTGTGTGGTAGCGCTGCAGTTATTGGCTCAGTCCAGTGTTGAAGTATCTCTGTTAGTAGAGGCAGACGGGCTGGATTATTCCAGGGTCAAGACCATGGGATTAGGTCTACGGATTATCACAGCTCAGTCATGCTTTCTCCAAGTCTGCGTAGCCTCCGCCCTCCACTCACTATCAGTGGGTGAATAGTGTCCTAAGTGCTGATTCACTGTCACAGCAGGAATTTAAGTGTGACACTAATTCTGTTTTGGTCTCATGCTTTGGGTAAATGAATGCTCAGTGTCAGGGAAATGATGGCTGAGTGGAACATAGCTTTATGCATATGCAAACCAGAATGTGATACGGTTGAAATGAACATAGCCGTGACATGATATTACAGTATCGCAGATGCAGGCAAAACTGTGTTTTAAGCAATCATACTGGCTTATTCCACTGTGACAAACTGCTACAACTGTAGTGTAAAAACGTACTTTTTTGTGTATTAATTTTGCTTTTCTTTGAATCACTCATCTGATTTTTACATTTTGATAATATGATATGGGCATGTTGACATCATACAGGTCATAATATTCATGTCTGTGAAGATTCTCAGTCATCCAGGTCATGGTTAGTCTGGTAGATGAATCGTAGCAACTGTACTTGCTTGAGTTCGTTGAAGACGTTTCACCTCTCATCCAAGAGGCTTCATCAATTCTGTCATAATGTTCAGTTTTTAAAATTCTAACCTGTGTGCAACAGCTGGGCCACATTTCTACTAATGTCTCTTCTTTTACCTCACTGTGACTTTCATCTGACAGGTCTTACAGAATCGTGGTGCAAGGATTTGGTTTTAGTTTTAAAATAATACAATAAAGCACAGGAAAGTAATGAAATCCTCTTTGTCGTGCTAAGCATCATCTGTTGTTTCTGTTGGTTTACAGGACCACGCTGTGCGAATGAGTGATTGATGCCAACTTCGCTTCTTCAGGTAAGCAATATTTAACACGCACACAAGCTAACGTCATGGGCGCATTTTTATTTAAAATTCCTTTCAAAGGATGAGCATGTTGGATTAGGATTGGGGATTTTGGAAAGCACACAGTGGATTATACAACAAATAAACCCTCAATCTCCTGGTCTTTAAAAACAACTGCGCTCAGTATCTTTTATTATTGTTTCTTTGAGTGGTGGTTTTTGACTAATACCCGACTGTCCTTTTTGTGTTGTGTCCTCCATGTAGGGCAGAATGGGTGTGTGTCCCCTGCTCCTGCTGCTTGGTGTAGCCCTCAGGGCCTCAGCCCAGGACCATGTCCCCATCACAAGTACGCACCACTTCAACCAAACACACTCACCTTTTCAGGTTGAATGGTACACAGTGGAAACATTGCAAAATCCTCTCCCTTGTCTTCTTCTGTACTAGGTCCTCCGAATATCACTGCCAAACCCACAGACCCCCCTGTCGCACCCTCCCTCAACTTCACAGTCGCACCCGCGCCAGCCCCTGAGGGCCCACCCACCACGCTCGCCCCCACAGTCATACCGCCAACGACAATAACAACGACAACGACAACAACAGCTGCCACCACGACCACAAACCCAGCTGGAGATGAGGACGAACAGCCCGCCGGTCCCAACTCCACCGTACGAGTGTTGCCAGTCCCTCCTCCCCCACCTCCAGCCCCTACCGATGCCCCTCAGCCACCACCAAGCAGCGAGCCTCCCCCTCCTCCCACCCCGGCAGGGGGAGATAACGGGACCACAGCCTCAACTCCAGACACCCCAACTCCAGACACTTACATTGATGAGGATATATTTCATGTGGATGATGAGACCACCATGGAACCGAAGCATGACTTCACATCAGACAGCACTCCAAATGGTGAGTGTTGGTGCATATGCAGACTGAGTTGCCTTTTTTTTTCTCTATTTTAAGGATGATTCTAGACTATTACAGTCGTATCCACTGTAGGTTTTGCCCTCATCCCTATCTGTAGTCACAACGATGTTCTCAGGAGGTGAATGCTGACATCTTGGAGCAAGGAGTCATCACACTTATTAGTCTGTACCATACTCGATTACATTTGAACCCAAAGCCAAGTAAATTTGATAAGTGTGAACAATTTGTGCCATACCTGGGCATGGTGAAATGATTTGTGCCCCAAAGAGCCAGACTTTGAGTCCAGATTAGTCAGTATTAAGGCTAGCTGTACCAAAATCGGGAAGCTCACCACTATTATAGGATATAGTTTCAACTTTACTCAACTGTCTGTTACTTTGTTAAGACAAAAAGCTGTACTCTGTACTGCCTGTCTCCTCAGAAATCTGTATGCATGCAGATCTCAACACTCACCTGCTTCTTTAAATGACAGATGAGGTTTAAAGACAAGCAAGAGTGTGTCAAGTGTTCTCCCTGTCTGTGCACCCAAAACACAAGCAGCAGAACTTGAAGTGATCCTCCATCGTGGAGTTAGCTGTAGGGACCGTGTCAGTTAGATTTAGCACGTTGACACGTTTTTACTGTATCCACATATTCATTTCAAATTGCATTTTGAAACGATGCAGTTAGCAAACAGCAAATACTGCAATTTAGAAAGTTTGTTATGCCGCACATCTGATCCAGGGTTTAAACTTATCTGTGATCAGTTTTTCTCCTTGTGGGACACTTTTCATATGTTCTATTTGCAATGCTTCATCACGATTTTAATCCATTACACAGTACATTTTAAACTGAAGCTTGACTGTAAAAAGTAATATCCCACATCAAATTGCAATCACAATGTCTTTCTAATCCACTGGTGCCAAGCCAGTGCCAGAAAGTTTGATGGTATTTGTTTCTCTGTGGTACCGAAAGTATCATTGATGCCAAGTCCTATATAAGGAAGTTTGATATAACATTGTGTGAGCTTATTATTAAGTACGAATTTATTAGTAAATACATTTATTAGATTTATTTCTTGCAGGAATTTTTTTTGGTGTTGAATCTTTAATAGTGAATTGTGGAAACATGTTTCTTTCTGCTTTAAAGTTGGGCATTTTAACATGGGTGTCTATCATAGACTGTATAAAAGATGAACGTAGCAACCGGCTCTGAAAAATGAAGCCAACCCGGAAGTGTCAAAAACCTGCAATATCACTACGTCCGCTAGCTGCTGGCTCCAAAAAGTCCTGGCTCCCATAGAATGAATTGGAAAAGAAGTGATCACAGATCACGAAATACTGCATTCCTACAGCTCAGGACTTTTTTCTTATTAGTTTTTATAGTCAAATCCAGAGATCAGGTGGCCAATCTGAAAATAAATCAGTACTGAATTTTTAAAAAATCGTCAATTTTGCAGGGCAAGGGGCGTGGCTGGCTTGATTGACAGTCAGCAGTGACGATACAGACGAAGCGAGCAGAAGGTGGTAAATGTGGGCGGGCAGAGAGGACCTGCCTCTCAATCCGTCTGACCAATCGCTGCTCCTATGGCTCCGCCCCCCTCCGACGATTTTTGCGTCACTGGCTCCAAAAATTCAAGATGTCGACCAGGAAGTAGCAAAACCCTGGCTTCATTTTCTCAGTACAGAAACCAACGGTGATGTCATGGTAGCTACGTCCATCTTTTATACAGTCTATGGTGTCTGTGGGTATTGATTTGCCTTGAGGCCAGCCTCAAGTGGCCATTCAGGGAGCTGCATTTTTGGTCACTTTCCAATTGTTTTTGCAGCATTGGAGGTTGCCACTTGTTCCTAACTCATTGTCATTATGAAGCACTTTTTAACAGTCGAACAAGGACAAATCTGTCTCAGGTGATAGAGGCTCAATAGACCAGAATGTCGTGACCCAACAATACAAGCTGAGTTCTGATTAGAGGGGATGTAACTCATTTTTATCTTGAATGGTAAAACGCCTGCTAGCAAAGCTTTTACTATCTTTTTCGCTGCACATAAACCCTCCAGCTGAATATAGGAAGTTAACATTCTCACAGCCAGTGCAGGTGTTCACCCACTCAGAGAAGTGTGGGAACTCCTTAAGGCACCATTCAGACCCTGTATCTTCAGATAGCGGCTGATATAAACACGGAGAAAGTCTCATGTACCACTTCTGATTTTGCCGTCTTGCTCGATTCGGATTTATCTGTGACAAAACTGCAGATTGCTGCTAAACAGAAAACTGGCCAACTGAGTTTCTCATGGCTATGTGTACTTTGTTCAGATGCATACTTTTTGACCATTTAAGTTTAAACTAATCCAAGTTCTTTGTCACCAGTGGATCAGCTGCCTGCAACAGTGTCAGAGTGGTTTATCCTGCTGTGCACACACTATGATGATGATGACAGGGAGATCCTTATAAGTGTGTTCCTCTTGAATTTGAAATTTAAAAAAAACAGTGGAAAAGTTCAATCAGTAAATTCTCGTCTCTTTTTGGGTGCGTCAGACCTGTATTTGTCATCAGGTTGCCTAAGACGCATTTTAATGCTATGTGTGAACAGGGCCTACTTCAACCCTCTGAAAACCAAAACAGCTTCTGAATGATTACTTTTTGCTCCTGTCATATTTCTACTCACTTTGGGTTCATTTTTCACTGCAATATAAATCCTTGAACCTCTATGGAAACAGCACAACTACAAGTAGAGAGAGCTCAAAAATGGCTTTTGTGCAGTGTAGTAAAAATATAACACCATAAATCGTAAAAGAAAAAACTGAAGTTGAATTTCTTTCTTATTCATTCTACAAAAAAAAAAAATGGAGGAAAAAGTGTACAACATGTTTCCAAGTGCTCACAGGTGTTCTCATTAAGTTAAAAAATTTGAGACTCTATAAAGCGTCGATACTTTATGACTTCCATGTTTTACTTTCATACTTGTCTCCGATCTGCTCCGTGTAAACTCAGGCTGCATTCCGCTCAGTTCAGCTGAAAAGTCCCTGAATTTTCATCACATGTCTGTTGTCTGCAGCTGAGTCATTAGTGGCTCCTCAGTTACGCTGAGGAGCATAGAATTTATTGTTTTACACAGAATTTGGTTAGACCGGCGGTTTATTTTTTTTTTAATTGTTTTTTTTTTGTTTTGTTTTGTTTTTTTAAATGAGACATACAGAATACAGTGATTTTATCCGAGCTTAGATTTGGTGAAGTTTCCCCAAACAAACAGCACGTCACAGATGAGTGGTTCAAGGACCATAGGAGAGTTTAAAATCAATTGAGTCGCTCTGTTTTCGCATTTCTGGCTCTGAGAAGTGGTGTAATTGTGGCCGTTTTGTAAATGCAGCATGCCTTTTAAACCCGCTGGCAGGTTTGAGGGCTCAGGGGGGTTGAGTAAAAGTGGACAAAACAGGTTAAGGAAAGTGTTGTAGGGCTGTAGTCAACCAAAGATAATTTTAGTCGACAGAAATCATTCCTACTCGTTAACCAGTAGACTGGTCGCTAGGAAAAGCACTTTGTGACATTTTATTAAAATACTTGAACAAATTGGACATTACAGATTAGTGGCTTACTGTAAGAAAACCCTTAGAGAGTCAGGTCATTTTTTTTTTCTTATGATGCAGTTACTTTTCGCTGTGTGTTATTCAAGTGGCAGAGCAGTATAAAGAGCAAGCAAGTGAGCTTTCTGGCCAAGAGTCAACCTTTAATATTTTAGATAGTTGAACATTTTTCTGCTTTTAGACTCCATTGTAGCGGGGCTGAAAATATCCTGACGTGTCATACCTGCATTTGACCAGTCATCCACAAGAAACAGAATACCACCAAACTAGATGACCCAGACACTCCCAGAAGCTTTATTTTTTTATGTGAAAACAATCTGGTTTTCCTTGTTTTGATTCATTTGAGGTTGAGGTCTGGTACACATTAGAGAAGGAAGAGGTTCGCAGTTATTGTGATGCATGTGAGAGATCTTCACATTGTTTTAAAGCAGCATCATCGAGTTGTTTTTATTGACACTGTGGTCATAATCTCTAATTTGTATTCAATAAAAGCTTATATGTTTAGCATCAAATTGGCTCAAACGCTTGAAGGGAAATACTCCAAATTTCAGCTGTTATTCAGCTTTATTTTTTAGCCACTTCGTGCCTGTGTACCGACCATCCTAGTAACATCCCTGTAAGTGAAACATGACTCCCCCACCCTTTTCTTTGACATTAATAATTCAGATTACATGATTGTAGAGAAATACACAAATCACTATCAAATGTCTCTGATTGATTTGGAGAGATGCTTTTATTATCAAATGTAATAACAGCACGTATGTTTTGAATTGTGCTGCAAGAATTCGAAATGTTTTGGTACAAAAACACAAAGTTGTAGAGGTTCTTGTAAGCATTCATTTACTAGCATTCACTCCTGGTCAACATAAATGCAACAGATGTGGCTGCAACAGACTATAGGCTATGTCTATTATATAACATCATCACTTTGGGCTCGTAGGTGTTATGTAATTGCTCCATTGTCTCCCTCTGGGCGTCTATGAGCCTTGTGTGGAGAGCTGTGAGCAGCTCTAAATGGCATTAGATCCGTCAAGGCTGTTTCAGTTCCACATGATACCCGCAGCCTGTTGTCCTCCTGCTCCGGTCAATGTACACATTGTCCGTCGGAGAACACTGAAAAGTCCTGGGAATTGTGTGCGAAAACGCAACATAACCGGGCGCTGTTCCAAAAAACGTGCATGTAGAGCATTAAGTCAAATGATGCATTCTTTGCAGCATAGTTCGTCTGCAGCGCTAAGAACTTTCTTGAATTTTGAGTCAATCCACGGAACTGCTGATTTTGTCTTTCCATTGTCATTGCCACAGTGCAGTTTTCTAGAAAAGTCTCTTTTGTTGTGCCCTAACGTGTCTTACTGACCGGTCATCAGCACACAAACGGCAGCCAGTTGTTGTTTTTTTTTTACACCGAACTCCCGTTGTTGTTCAGGCCAATCTCATGTCTTTTGTTTGTAGGAATAAAAGGTCACCAGGAAGACCGCAGGGTTCGCCTTCAACCAGTAACTCATGCTCACGGTGGAAATACATACAAATTGGTCAGCCATTGTAATCTACAGGAGGCATCACACAGAATAGATAACCTGGCCTGTGTAATGTCTGACTTGCAATGGTAAACCTGTGTGACCACAGTCCTTTTCCACATTGTGAAAGTGTTTAAAACTTCAGTCTTAATAATTCATACTGAATTCACAGCAAACGTCTTAAATGTTTCAGTGCTTCATGCCGTCACCCTGTGTCTGCTGTCGTCTTGGGCATAACCAGTTATACCCCAAGATAGTAAAGCTGAGGGGTTGACCAGTTAAACTGTGATTTATCTGCTCACTCAGAGGGACAGCCTGTTGCACTCTCCATTTGTGTTTTTCTTTTTCTTCTTAAAGCCAATGAAATATTAACACGGACGGCCGTAATGGAACGGAAAGATACAAGCTGGTGTTGAAAGAGGCTGAGGTCACCTTACAGTCTTAAAAAAACTTTTTCTAGTTTCAGTGTAAATGAAAAGTGCATTAGCCTCTACTAGACATCTATGACAGCATTTAATAAATTGTGAGATATGTAGATTAATTGATGAGTTGAAAAATAAGAAGTAACTTTAGTTTGTCATTTATAGAAATAGGTTGACATTTTTGTTTTTTTGGAATTATCTATGATTTTTGTTACCACTTGGAAATAAGAGCTGAACAGCTAACTGTCTGTCCAAAGGTAAATTCTTCCACCTTTCAGCCCCTCTGAAGCTCACTTATTAACACATGATATCTAATCTGTGTAATCTTTTTTTGTGAGGATGCTGGACTTTTTAAAGTGCTCGTACACTGAGTTTATCTTTCAACAAAGCCAGGCTAGCGCTCTTTCTTCGTTTCAGGTCTTTGTGCAATGCGACGCTAACCAGCTGCTTCATATTACTGTTCAGTCATGAGTGTGGTTCTCATGTAACTCTTGCGAAAAAAACAAAATGGGTGCAATTCTCAAATTGTCTTTTTTGGTGAGTAATTATAGATCCTAGCGACTCAGTTGTGAATCAGTTTTGAGTTTGGAATGTTGGTCACCAAATTTTTTTCATGATAAGAAAATAAATTAGTCAATTAATTTGAGAAAACATCCCAGAATCGTGTTAGTTTGAGATTAGTTGGCGTGTTGGTGAAATCCGTCTTCCAGATTTTGTAGCACAACAACACATGATGTTAAAGTTTCTTGACAAAATTAGTCACATTTGTAAAATAATCCACATCCACATTTCAGACAGGCCCCCCAGGCTTCAGTGAGGCTGTGTAAAGTAAGAGTAATTTGGTAATGCCAATGGAATGTGGCATCAGGTTTAACCACCACACTAATTTATCTCAAGTATTCAGACACCTTTTTTTTTGTTTCTTTTCTCGAGCCAAATGCACGGTACAGATAATTTATTCTGTCTTTTCTTTCTGCCCCTTCAAAGACAACAACCAGTCTGATGACATGCCAATCATAGCTGTGATGGTGGCTCTGTCCTCCCTGCTGGTCATCATCTTCATCATCATCGTCCTCTACATGCTCAGGTTGGTAAAATACAGGTGATGTTCTTCAGACACGGAGGCCTGTGGTGAGGGCCTGAGGTGCTGCTGTTACCATGGCAATGACTGATTGGCATTCTGCTGCGAGACAAAAGCAGCGTGTGCGTATTTGTGTCAGACAGTATGCGTATCTCTGTGTATTAATATGCACTTTGATCTCTGTTGATTGACAGGTTTAAGAAATACAAGCAGGCAGGAAGCCATTCGAACTCCTTCAGACTGACCAATGGCAGATCGGATGATGCAGGTAAGACACGCAATATTGTGTGTGTGTCTGCACTTTGTGTTTGCCGGCAGATATGACTGCATTCTTCCTGGTTACTCAGTTTATTTGTTTTGGGTCCTGTTGGCAAATATGTACAGCCGGCTTGACCAAACTTGTTACTCAGAGTTTTTTCTGATAAGCCTTGATTGATCTTGCTTCCCCAACTGATAACATTTCACTGGTTGATTGTTGGCAGGAGGCTTTTGTTCACTGTGATTACCTAATCAACAGAGCTGCAGTTAGGTGATGCTACAGCGTTGAGTCACATTGCCCTCTGCTGGGCATTTTAAGAAAAGACAGTGAAGGATGAAGTCAGTGTTACATGATGTAAGAGAGTTCCAGTCTCATGTTCTTACCCTGTATCCCATGTTCTTTATCTCTACCTGTGTCACCCCTCCCGTTCCTTCCCCCATCTCCCTACTCCTGCCTCCTCCCTTCCTGCACGTTGGCACAGAATTCCAGTGCGTGCCACTATTGGCTCGCTCGCCCAGCACAAACAGGAAGTACCCGCCCCTTCCCGTCGACAAACTTGAGGAAGAAATGAACCGTCGCATGGCTGATGACAACAAGCTCTTCAGAGAGGAGTTTAATGTATGGCACACTGACGCAGACACTATCTGATAACGTAATGGGGCCAAGAGTTACCTTTGGCCTGCATCCGCAGCTTAATTTAGTGACTCAGAACAAGGGGTGGTTATACATCAGGGCGGGGGAAGAGTTGCGAGGGAATATATGTAAAGACTATGGCGAAGCTCAACTCATCTGAAATAGTAGACGTTGTGATTTGATTATAAAGTACATCCATGTTTTTGTATTTAGGAGGAAAGCAAAGCATCCAGAAAGGCTTACAGATTGGAATGATGCAGATTTTTAGCAGCTGTATAGTCACACCAATCACCAGTAACTGAGCTAACAATTAGTTGATAAAATAATTAACTTGGAATTAATGGTGAAAAAATGACCTGAACCTGATGTGCAGTTAAAATACATGGAAAAAACAATGAATGACCAATTGGAACAGTTATCTAAAAGTAACTGACAAACAGGTGAAATAAAAAGCTAAAGGTGCTGCATAAACAGTTGAAATCATTTGCTAAAACAATAAATAACAGTGCAAGATACAGCCTTTGCTACTCAAAATGGTAGATTAAAAATTGTAAACTTTAAGGAACTGATGTGAAGTCCCTCTCCAGTTGTTGATGTAAGCCCTAAAAACTCGTCTCTGTGAATCAGAGTTACATATTTAGTGTTTTTTTTTCCCATGAAAAATAATCTCTCCCTTCCTAAAAATGTCTAGATGTAACTCTACACCGCTGCTTCCTCTGGAATGTACAGATCCATGAAGGCCCCTTCTCTTTCCACTTGAGCAGCAGTGATACTTTAATTAATCGATGAGTTGTGAGCTACTGAATTAATTGGCAACTATTTTAATAATTGATCAATTAGGTTAAGTCATTTTTTAAGGAAAAGTCGTCTCTTAAAATTCTTTCCAGCTTCTTAAATGTTGATATGTTCTTATTCCTGCACTCCCGTATGACAGTCAGCTTGTTGTCTTTGATTTTAACACAAAACAACCCTAACTGATATTTTTCACCATTTTCTGACATTTTATAGACGAAACAACTAATCAATCAACTGCAAAAATACTTTTGATCGACAGTGAATGTAACTGTTGTTGCAGCCCTCCCACCTGTGACTCAGACGCTGTAAAACTGCTTTATGCTAATGTCAGGTTGTAACAGTGGAGTAATTCAGTCTGACTTGTTTCAATGGAAACCAGTTCTGCAGAAGAATAATTATACTGAAAGTCCCATTCAGCAGGTTGACAGGATTAGTTCCTTAGATTGGTTCCATGTGAAACCATTGCTGTCAGAACCAGTTGGATTTTTACATGTTATCTAAATGTATTCTTCTTTGTTTAGGCACTGCCAGTCTGCCCCATCCAGGCATCATGTGACGCTGCTTCCAAAGAGGAGAACAAGGAAAAGAACAGATACGTCAACATCCTGCCATGTAAGTGACGACAGATGACTGAAACTGTAACTGACTGACTCACATTAGCAAAGTAGCTCTTAGTTTAACAGCATTTTTATCTGCTGATTTGAACTTTTTGAAATATTTACCTGCACAGTTATGTTCAGCCTTAGGGAAAGATGGTGTACAAGTCGTCATTTATTGGTTGAGTGCAGGGGTGTCCAATCCTGGTCCTCGAGGGCCACAGTCCTGCATGTTTTAGATGTTTCCCTCTTCCAACACACCTGATTCAAATGATCAGCTCATCATCAAGCTCTGCAGAAGTCTGATCACGATCCTGATCATTTGAATCAGGTGTGTTGGAAGAGGGAAACATCTAAAACATGCAGGACTGTGGCCCTCGAGGACCAGGATTGCCCACCCCTGGTTTAGTGGAACGAAGTGGAATGGGAAGTATTATAGTACATCATGTGTAAGGCAGTTAGCATTAGCTTATCTTCACTGTCCTTTTTGCACCTCATCTTTATTTACTGTTCCTTAATATGTCCCCTGTATTCTCTCTCAGATGACCACTCCAGGGTGCATCTCTCATCCCTGGAGGGAGTCCCCGACTCTGACTTTATTAACGCCTCCTTTATAAATGTTTGTATACGCACAACATCTGTTCCACACAAGAAACTATTCTGCTCCAAATATGATTGACTCTAATTCTGTGTCATCCTAATTATCTCATTTTGACCTGTTTTTCCTGCAGGGTTACCAAGACAAGAATAAGTTTATTGCAGCTCAAGGTAAAGTCAAAGTCTCTCTTGGAGTAGAAACTGTCTTACTATTCACTCGTGTGGACTTGGTTTTTAATCCTCTTAATTGCTGTATGTGTCATGATGTCTCAGGGCCAAAGGAGGAAACAGTAAATGACTTCTGGCGGATGATCTGGGAGCAGAACACAGTCACCATTGTCATGGTGACAAATCTGAAGGAGAGAAAAGAGGTAGGAGAACTGGAGTGTACTGTTTTACAAGATTTTAAAATGGCTTCTTTAACGTACTAAAAGACAAAATAATGCAATTTGTATAGAATGTACGTACACAGGTAGGATAGTTAGTTAAAAAGTGCAGGTTTTTTACCCTAATGTGAATTCTTATGCAAAGGCCGGAGCAAGAATGACTTCAAATCATGACTTTGCATGAAAACTGTCTTTGTTGTTTTTTTGCTGTGCTCGCTCTGTCAAAGACAGAGCATCATTAGGATAGACAACCTAATTGTATTCTTGCCCTTTTTTTCCAAATCATTAACTAGCTGAGGCAGCTCTTTCCCTGCGTGCTCTGTTTTATGAGTGTGCTTGGTCTCAAATCACTCTCTGTTTTTTTTCTTAGTGTAAATGTGCTCAGTACTGGCCGGACCAGGGCTGTTGGACATATGGCAACATCCGTGTGTCTGTAGAGGACACAATGGTTCTGGTGGACTACACTATCCGCAAGTTCTGCATCCAACAGGTATCCCAAACATCTTAGGGTACCAGGCTATACAAGTAGTTGTATTTATGGTTATATAAATTCTTTTAATTACGAGGTTAATGCTTAGTGTGGCTTACAAGGGGCAATGAAATACTAATTTCAACATGTTTAGAGACACAGGGTACACATTGCATCATCTTTGTGTCTTGTTCTATTGTTTGTGCCTCAGGTTGGAGACGTCTCTGGGAAGAAGCCTCAAAGGCTCATCACCCAGTTCCACTTTACCAGCTGGCCAGACTTCGGGGTGCCCTTCACCCCCATCGGCATGCTCAAGTTCCTTAAGAAAGTCAAAGCGTGCAACCCCCACTATGCCGGGCCCATTGTTGTTCACTGCAGGTACGTGTGTTACTCTTTGCTCTGATCTTTTCTCTTGTGTCTCTCTGTATTTTTGTGTCTGCATACAACATACACAACTAACAAGATGGCATTTGTGTTGGTCAGTGCGGGTGTTGGGAGGACCGGTACCTTCATCGTGATCGATGCCATGTTGGACATGATGATCTCGGAGAGGAAGGTGGACGTGTTTGGCTTTGTCACCAGGATAAGAGCCCAGCGCAGTCAGATGGTCCAGACTGATGTAAGTCCAGTGTTGACACGTAAAGGATGAAAGCATGTATGAACATTAACCACAGACGTTGGCAAAAAGCCACACAGTAACTACTTCACATGAATCATCAGCCGTGGCAGCTTACTACGTGAAGTGTTTTGAGATGATGTATGTTATGTACTGGTGCTATGTAAATAAAAAAGAACTGAATCAGGCATTATTCATGATTTTCTTTTGTACCATCTTGCTCTCCTACAGATGCAGTATGTTTTCATCTTCCAAGCATTGTTAGAGCACTACCTATACGGAGACACAGAGCTAGAAGTGACCTCTCTGGAGTCCCACCTGGCCAAACTGTATGCCCCGTCACCTGGAGCTGGCTGCAGTGGTCTGGAGGCTGAATTCAAGGTCCGTGTGTGTGTGTTTTAGTCTTCCCCCCTCTCTATTTTCGTACTTTTGCATCTATTCATTTATACTTTATTGCAACACATTTTAACTGCAAATGAGTTAAATTTGATCTCATGATTTCTAGAAACTGACATCCATCAAGATTCAGAATGACAAGATGAGAACAGGCAACCTTCCTGTGAACATGAAGAAGAACAGAGTCCTACAGATCATTCCATGTGAGTGATGCAGGTGCAGGTGTGAGCTGTGGGTTCATCCAGTGTAATTGTGCCTACATGTAGTGATAAATGCTGGGATGCACACGATGAATTGCAGATGGTTCCTATGTCAACACTTGAAGCTGCTTTTTTTTCACAATCAAGATAAATGCTTCTCCTTGTTCCCAACAGATGAGTTCAACAGAGTGATCATTCCAGTCAAGCGAGGAGAGGAGAACACCGACTACGTCAATGCCTCTTTCATTGATGTGAGTGTTTAAAGTGCCTGGATTGGAGTGGATCATTTCATTTCATTAATGCAAGCAATCGATCAGGTGTTTTAAGTCTACCTTTCTGCCTTCTTTCTCTCTCTCTCTGTTTATTTTGTGCCATTCAATCTTTCCTCTTTTCCCTCTGGACCTCACTTTCTGCCCTCTCGTCCATCTGGTCACAGGGCTACCGTCAGAAGGACGCATACATGGCGAGCCAGGGGCCCCTGCAGCACACCATAGAGGACTTCTGGAGGATGATCTGGGAGTGGAGAAGCTGCTCCATAGTCATGCTCACTGAGCTGGAGGAGAGAGGGCAGGTCTGTGCGTGTCTGTGTGCAGTTACAGACACCAGTATTAGATGTCAGGTCAATAACTGGCTAAAATAGAATATTGATATTAGGGTCAATGCTAACTGGATGCTACCAGTCTTGTGTAACATGACGATAATCTAAGCAAAACGACTTGATCTGAATCTCGTGGTTTTCCAACACATCTTCATTTCAAATCTTTAATAAAATGTGTTGTATATTGTTAGATATCCAGATGTCCTGATGGCTTAATGCTACAACAATTAGCAACTGTTATATCTGTAAATCTTTAATAGCCAGAATTACAAGTTTAAAATCCAGTTAATTTCCAGCAAACATGTTGGATTTGGTGTCAGTTTCCTCCTTTGCTCATATAATTAATGATTAATGAATTGGATTAAGTTTCTCCCTGCAATAAGCATAACTGTTTAGACATCTGGCTACTTTCAGTGCATACACACAGTAGAAATTAGAATAGATTTAGGATGTGATTGACATTTTGGATTTCCTGGATATTTTCAGACTCCTAACTGGTCATCATTAAGCTTTGTTATCTGACTGTGTCCCTCTTGTGTCCTTTAGGAAAAGTGTGCTCAGTATTGGCCCTGTGATGGAGCGGTGGTCTATGGGGACATCTCCATTGAGATAAAAAGGGAGGAGGAGAGTGAAAGCTACACGGTCCGTGACCTCTTGGTCACCAACAACAGGGTGAGAAAGGACGCAGTGGAACAAGCAGAAGCTCCGCATACAAACACACGGATGACAAAAGCATTCTCTACTGCTGTTGTGCTTTTTAATGAAGAGATTGTCTAATTATCATTGCATGCACTAATCACTGCTCTTTTTCATCATTTATGTTTTCAGGAGAACAAGGCTCGGGCAGTGCGGCAGTTCCATTTCCATGGCTGGCCAGAGGTGGGCATCCCCACTGACGGTAAAGGCATGATCAACATTATTGCTGCGGTGCAGAAACAACAGCAGCAGTCTGGCAACCACCCCATCACTGTGCACTGCAGGTAACACATTACACACACACACACACACACACATTGCCTTCTCAACTTGTGTGTACCACTCTAAGGACATGTGGGGAAACAAATGCTTGACATGATGATCGTTGAATAGATTGTTTTTGTATTATTATTGCACATGGAAATGTTCCTGGCAATTATATGTGTTGGTGTGTGTCTGGTAAGTTGTTGTAGCTATCAATCCACTCAGAACACTTGTTGTCTTCTTCCTTGTCACATTTCAGCTGCTCACAGAACTGTTGCTTCTTCTGTAACACATACAGTTACAACAAAGCATCTTGTTTGTGGTTTCTGAACATGCTGACAGCAGTGTGCATACTGAAGGTTAGACTTTTGCCTGTGTGTGTGTGTGTGTTCACAGTGCTGGTGCTGGCCGGACGGGGACTTTCTGTGCATTGAGTACAGTTCTGGAGAGGGTAAAGGCAGAAGGCATCCTGGATGTCTTCCAGACAGTGAAGAGCCTGAGACTGCAGAGACCCCACATGGTGCAGACACTGGTAAGGGACCATCAAAGCTGGACTTTGGTTTTTCTTTTCTCACAAAGCCTAATAAGCAGCTAGCTTACTAGTGTGGCTATTTTGGGAAGGGCACAGAGAGAAGATGAGATATGTGCTTTACTCACATTTACAAAAAGTGGGTGTAATATTTTTTTCCAAGAACTTGTGATTTCCTTTTGGTCAAGATTCAACCAAGAAACCAGCAGTTTGATAATAACTACAAAGACTTTATGTCCACTGCTTTTGTTGTGTTGTTTTTAACAGTTGCATTTGGGAGTATTGGCTGTAATTTTTTTTTATGTTTCTCACCTCATTGTGTCTGTTGTCCCTGATTGCAGATCTGCAAGGTTTATATTATTAAACAATAACCACTAGTAGCACTGAGACCTAATTCCAAAACCTAGGAATTACTTGCCAAGAGTATTAGCTTAGCTGGGTTGTGTTAGCATAAAGCCTCGAAATCTAATCATTCCAGAGGTAACCGAATCTACATATTTGATGTTTGGTTTTTATGAAAATCAAACTGCAATTTACTGTTCTAAGGTGAGCTTCCCTCATGTTTGCATAAAGACAGGAGAGGTGCTAATCTTTTAATCAAACACTCAGCAGACAAGAAAGGAAACTTTTTATTTTTTCAACTATTTGAGAAATTAGTTTTGGTTAAAGATCGCAGTGATGCAAATTCAAATTGGATTTTTTTTGTAGAGGGTTATACAGATTTGCTTTGATACTATAAATGCAGATTTGTTTAACTGTGTAGTTTCTCCTGTGCTGTGCTGGTGTTTGTATTGTAAGTTCTGATACAAGAAATCAATGATGTCATTGACCAAGTGAGGAACTGAAGTGTCACAGATTCCAGCTGATGTGTGGCCATGTCTTCCCCTCCCCTCCCCAGGAGCAGTACGAGTTCTGCTACAAAGTGGTCCAGGAGTATATCGATGCTTTTTCTGACTACGCCAACTTCAAGTAGGGACCTGCCATGGATGGATGGATGGATGGATGAATGGATGGATGGATTTCCACATACACTTCATGCAAGCATATGCACGCACCAGAACACACACATACAGTACATTGCCATGCAGAAAGCTGCATATTTCTATCTGATGGATCTTTTAAAAAGACTCATCACAACTTGATCTGCGGACGGGATGAACTGCCCGGTGGAAAAGGGAACAGAGGTCTCCGCCCGAAGGACAGGGCAGCGCAGCGCAGTTGGACACAGAAAATAACTGAGATGCCTTCTTGAATATTTTGTAATGTTGTTAATACGGCCCTTCACCCCTATTTTGCTTTCCATCTTCACTCCCCCCCATATGTATATATACTTACTGTGTTGCATTTTATTGCTTTGGTTTTAGACACAATTTTGAGTTTGGCTGCATTTTCGGGTGGCACCTGTAATGTATTTTATTGGTATATATATATATATAAATATATAAATATATATGAATATAAATCTAATGCTTTGATGGCTAATGTACAACATCCAGAGTCAAGGTAATGATGTTTGGATTTCTTTCTTCTTTTTTTTTTTACTTTTTAGGGACAGAGACTTAAAACATTTTTTGACTTTGCCTGAGCCACAGTGTAGCGACGTGTGTGTGGTAGCAGAAGTTTCTACATTCACCGACAAACCCGGGACTGTTTTTCACTCGCAGACATTCATACACATACACAGTCCAAGTCATTTGTCTTTACACAAAAGTCGGTTGCATCTACTTGGCAAAAAAAAAAAACCTTGCAATTTCTCTCCGTAACGTTTATGGGGTTTAAGGGTAACTCACGACTGGAGAACACACGGTCTCTGTGATGTAGCTCATAGTCTCAGGTTTTTACACACAAACATACACACTAAATACCAGGAGCCATTAATTATTTTTGGAGCATCTGTGTGTGTGTTTGTTTGAACTGGAGCATAAGCTGGCAGAGAAGACTCGGTGTGTTTTCACATCTCCCCATCTTCTGTCTGCCGAGTGCCAAAGTCCTCCACTCATTTGGTTATGTAGCTGTGGAGTCTGAGAAACTCCACCAACCGCGTTCAGACACTCAGAAGAAGAAAAGCCGTTTCACTGTCCGAGGATCAGTAATTAACACACTCCTGGATTACAACAGGAATTTTGGAAAGTTTAAAAAAAAGATTTTTTTTCACCCCATACAGTCGAGAAAAATGAGTGTTTTCTGAAGATTTTGTCTTATATTCTAAGGTCTGTTACAGCATCAGCAGCAGCAGTGTTGATCAGGTTAACGAACCAAATTACAAACAATACAATTAACTCCATTACTGCAGCATAGAAATCAACGTGATCAGGTTGATTTTGTCTACTCCATACCATAGAAATCAACGACTCCCACGCGCCCAGCTTCTTTCTTTTTCTTGTTTACAGACACACATCAGTATTTCATGTAGATTGTATTGAGTATTTCGTTTCTGTTTGGGTTTCCTTTGAGTCTGCTGGGATTAACGGTCATTTCTCTTTTTTTTTTTTCTATATTGTCACTATGTCGTACGGTCGCTCCTTTTAAAGAATGATTCCTCTTTTATTTCCCACCATGAATACTGATGCCGAAGAATGTTTCTTTTTATTCAAATGCTGTTGCTAACATATTCCTCAACAACGGATACATTGTTACTTTCATAGAAGAGGTGTGCCATTTTGTTTGCTCTGATATTCTTATTTTTTTTAAACAGATGTCCTGTGAGGACCCTCAGACTTGAACTACAGTGTTTTTATTTTTTTTTGTTTCGTTTTTTAAATCTTATCCGGGGTCACTATTGAGGCCGTGCCCTTTGTGATTGTAATAAAAGATACATGATGTCAGTTAACCGCAGGGCTTTAGGTCAGTCCTAATTTCAACTCAGTCAGCTCAGGAAATGACTGAAGCCAGGATTGTTTAAATTTACAAATTGAAGAATCTCACCTTGTGTTTTATCGCCACGAGTGGTTTTAGCTCCCAACACAGTGGGGTGAGGGGAGGAGGGGGCGCAGATATTATCCCTTAGCTGGATTTTAATAGACTTTATTGACATGATATTAAAAATATTTTCTTCTAGGAATTTTACTTCAATCTTTCTTTATGTCAAACTTTGACTGAAAAAAAATCACCCACACTTGTGCATAATTCACGTTACACTAACACTCCCGTATGTCGTTACTTTAATGAAAGGAAGGAGCACAATCAGATTTAATTTATTGATGGTAGTTGTCACTCAAACGTACACGCTGAACTTTGAGGAGGGGGGGTGATTGCGTCAATGTTGATTGTTTGAACACTCATGCACTATTTGCACCAAAAGCAAAGCCCTTAAAAGTACAGAGCCAAATAAGAGACGAGGTCAGAATGATCACATTGGCCTTGATTTGAGAATTCTATTTGAACTCTGGAGCAGCTCTTTTTCAGGTCTCAAAGCCACCGGGGGGGTTAGGCCTCCTGTCAGGCCCCCCCTGTGTGGACTTCAAGTAGCAGATGGTTTTAATTGACCAGTCACTGAATTTGATGGCTGTTTTGTGCATCATTAACTTCATTTCAGGTCTTCTTTCGTTCCAAAGCATCACAAGTGCCCGCACTATTAGTTATGTGCCATTATGTTCCTCATTTATTTACATTGTCACTTACTGGGTCTTTAATTATTAGAGGAGGGGACGCTTAGCTATTCTGTCTGTGCTTAAATGACATTGTTTTTAATGTGTGTGTGTTAGCATCGTGTGATTTGCAATGTCTCACTGCAATCTGAAAGCAAAACATGACACTGTGCCAACCCACGAGACCCACTATTGATGATAACTTAACAAAATAAAAAGAAGTGCCTCAGTGGTAGGTTTGCAAAAACGAATCAATTCTCCAAACTTTGTCTGAAATATGTGGTGGAACCGTTGTCATCCTTTACATTTCTTAACCCACCTGCATTTTCTCATCTATCATCTAATCAGACTAATGACTTTTTGTCTGGCGAACGGACACCAGGACTGGCTCAGTCATCTTTGCTTTCACATTCCCTCTAGTTACACATAAATGTGGATTTCTCGATTTGTGCAGCTCAGACTAACACTGGGGCCCCTCTCTATTGAATTCCCTTTAAATTTAATGGCTTCATTTCATTCCATATCAGATGAATGTGGGCTCCATGACAACTAATCAGTCGTGGATGCCTAAATGTCCCCCCCAAAAAATCGCATCTTTTCTTACCAAGGGAAACCGATTGTCCCTGTTTTGTCCCTTTATTCCTGGAGCTTTGCCCCCAGTGGGGTGTTTTAAAAGCCCCAGCAAAATCATAAACTTCTCCAAGCCTAGAAAGGGAGACTGCAGAAAACTAGAGTTCAACTTCCCTCTTCTTGCTACCTTTATGTGTCTTTTCTGTCTCTTTTCCAGCTCCACTCACTGCTGTCCACATATTGCTTTGTTTCCCTCTTTCACTTTGTCCTTGGACCATTTCCCCCCAGTGGTCAACGCCCACTCCCCTTTTGTACATAATGTAAGGTTATTTATATTTCATTCCTGTCTGCTGCCTTGCTTCTTTTTATTTTCTTCTCCCCCTTTTCTTCTGTTTAAAAAAAATAAATAAATAAAAAAAAAAGATGTAAATTGAACTGTATCGGGACCATTTTGAAATGTATTACAGATGTTTTGTTTTGGCCATTTTTAATTTGGTATAATTGTCTTAAGCAAATCCTATATTTTAATTTGCCTAAGTTTGTTTCTAGTGTTTTGTTATTCAACATTTGAATATATGTATATATAATTATATATATGATAAAATTATATATAATTATATAATGCCAAATGGCCTTTCTAAGCAAGATACTGTTCAAACCTAATAAAGTGCTTGAGATTTTAACATTCGTCTCTATTTATCATGTCTTTAAACAAAACATAAACCACAGGAGTGCGGTCAGGGCGCATGTGTCGGACACATCAGATGTGATGATCTGTCGTCCAGAAGATGTATTATATTGGTAATATAGAGTATATAGATACACTGTATACTGTGTGTGTGATACACTATATTTTAATTCATTTCAAATGTGAACTTGTCCTTACCCAAATATTGAAAAGCCAAAGAGCTGAAGTTACTGGACCATTGGACCATACAACAAGTGGTTCAGATTAGCATAAAGCCTGTGAACCAAGTGTGCCTCATAGGACATGTAGGATCCTGTGATTTTGAAGCTTGAGCCACACTGGAGACTCATAATCTGTCTGAAAAGTTCAACTTAATACACTACTTAGAGACAATTATTTTTACTGTCAGGTGTGATCTTCAGAGGTCCATATTTAGACAAGGTTCATGTGACTTAGATATCAGCAAAAGATTTATTCCAGTCTATATGTACTATATTCCATAAAGGCTTGAACAAACTCCACACATGTTGTTGTCTGTGAACATGCTCAGTCATCCAGGTCATGGTTGTTCTCGTAGATTAATCGTAGCAACTGGACTTGCTTGAGTTCCTTAAAGACGTTCCACCTCTCATCCAAGAGGCTTCATCAGTTCTGACTGACCAGTTGGGAAATCCAGACACTTATATCCTTAAGGAGCCACTAACACCAGAGTTTCGGTTTCAATTGGGGGGTTTGTTGCTCCTCCATTTGAGGTTTTAAAGGCATGTTTTTTTGTTTTGTTAGTTTGCGTATTTTACATCTTCCAAATGATACCATTTATCAGAACCAGAAATTGCATAAAGATATGTTTCAACTTGTCAGTGATCATTTAGCATGTGATGTGTGCCAACATGGCCAAAAATGATGTTAATATTTCAATCAAAATCTCTTAATTCTCCTGTGATTTCCTAAAAGGTAACTGACGGGTAAGTCTGGAGCCAGGCGTCGTGTCTGCCCGGTGATGGATCTGATGAACTGAGTCTACAACGACCACGTCACGCTCTCAGTCACTTCCTGAGAACGAATTGGCTCTACATCTAAAATTAAAAAGTAAACATATTTTCTCCTGTAATTATGTATGTACGGTCATTGGCCTTGTCGGGGATCTGCTGTTTGTTCCCATCACCTCGACTGAGAGGTCAACGGGGGGCAGAGGGATGATGGATGATGGGTCACAGTGGGTCAGCAGGTGAAACAAATAGGAAATGATTTCACCCAAACGGACATGTATGTAAATTCAGCACTTTTAAGATGTTCTCATGAGTCTTTGTGTAGCAGAAAAAAACCCCCAGAATGACAGTGTTTGCAAGGATATTAGTTAATTTAATGCATTGAATTATTTTCTGCTCATGTCACTATTTGAATGTGCAGACAAGCATCTCAGGGGTGTCAGCGCTGTTTGTCAGTGATAATTGGAATCTGCCTCATCTTCTGCAAGTCTTGTCTCCAGGGACAGTTCATTTCACCCCTGGGACCAGAGGGACCAGAGGGGTCAGTGATGGGTGGGACGCACAAGGAAGGATGATGGAGGTGTGTGTTAGGAGGAGGGGGGGCTTTTTAGGTCCATATAATGAGGAGGAGAAAGCCAGTGTAGAGAATCTCTGCAGTGACATACCTGTGAAGCTGCTGTGAGATAAGTTTAGCAGCTGGTCCACTGAAGGAAAAGGAGGGTGATCTTCTGCAGGGACGTTAAGGGCAACTTGTATCTATAAGGTTGTGAGTGCTGAGACTAAGGTAAGACGACTTCATTACACCTCTACATGGCTTTGCTGAACTCTTACAAAGGTTACCTGATGGATTAATGTGACTTAAAAATCAGATTTTTCAAGTATTGTTCAGTTGTTTAACATCTGGCTTGAAAACTCTGAATATCTTTACCCTGTAATTAGATTGAGGAAATGCTTTATTTAACCCTCTGAACCCCAAAACCTGCCAGTGAATGTAACAATGTATTTATTTATTTATTTTAATTGCGTAAATGGCACTATTTGACGTAGCAAGACATGATCATTAAAGTTTTTCCTTTTTGATGGTCCTTGAATGACTCGTGATGCGCAGTTCTGTCAAGACAATTAACCAAATGTCAGCTTGAAATTTCAATATTTCTCATTTATTCTACCAGATTCTGCACCAAACAAACAATTTTGCGTAAAAATTTGAATGAAAAAGTCGAGAGTGGCTCAGCTGCAATCGACAGTCACGTGACAGAAATTTGTGGAAACAAATTAGAGAGATTGAGAGCAAAATAAAACTGATCAATAAAACAAATACAGCACGGGCAAAAAAAAAACAGCATACAGAGCAGCAGGTTGTTGGCAAGGTGGTGAGAGATACATTCAGCATGGTGAAATATGAGAGATAATGTGCAAAGTCATGTGAAAAAAATACTTAGATTGTAGAGGTTGTAAAAATGTTGTCACTTAAATATCTATGGCATGTGGAGACCCCATTTTTCCAGTACTGCTAACGCCTGTGAACACTTGGAAAAATGTTTAATTTTTTTTGTAAATGAATATTCAAACTAATTTAATAGTTTTAAATTTTTTTAAAAAAATATGACATCATACGCAGTGTTTTTTCCGATGGAGGTACAAGACTTTAAAGTGCAGAAAAATGAACCATCAGTGAGTAAAATCGTGACAATAGCATAAAAATGCCCAGAAGTTACTTGAGGTTCAGAGAGTTAAAAGGGAGTAAACGATAAAAGTACTGATGTTGATGCAACATTGTTTTAAATGCAATCACATATTTGGACAGTTAACTCACTAATTTCATTTTTAACTATCATATGAGACCAAATGGGAAACTTATTTTTCAAATTTGCAGTAAAATACCTCAGTCCAAATATTACAACTCATCATTATTGTATCATACCGTCTTATTGCAGAAACAGAAAAATCAAGAACGCCTTTTCAGAATTCGCTCACACTTACGATAATAGCCCCTTATAGTCACACTAACCTCATCTCCATCTTTCTTTTCAGTGGGACTATCATGTGTGTATCTCGGCTGGTTTTGCTGCTGGGGCTGCTTCTGTGTGTCGGGGCTCAGCTGTCCTACGCTCAGCACTGGTCTCATGGTTGGTACCCCGGAGGCAAGAGGGAGCTGGACTCCTTTGGCACATCAGAGGTCGGGATCTGTGTCTGCGTGCATCATTTTAGTCATTCGCTGAGCCAAATAAAGATACGCCACTGACTCTTTTCTCACACTCTGAACCTCCCTCCTCTTTGTCTCTCAGATTTCAGAGGAGATTAAGTTGTGTGAGGCAGGAGAATGCAGCTACCTGAGACCCCAGAGGAGGAGCATCCTGAGAAACATTCTTGTAAGTGAAGATGTGTTATGTAGTTTGATTTCAATTTGACTTCCTTTTCTTTCTGTCCCACATATCTACACACTGGACATTACAACAAAAAAGCTGCTATAGTGTGTATCAGTCTAATGCCATGCTAAATAACTCTCTTGTCACAGTTGGATGCCTTGGCCAGAGAGCTCCAGAAGAGAAAGTGACAGATTTCCATCTCACTAAGCTTTTCTACCTGGTGACCCTTTTCTTCTGCATCTTTGTCTTGATTCTGTGATCCTGTGGTTTTATTAGTTGTTTTATTAGTTTCTCCAGCATCCCAGTTTGTTTCTCTGTAGAAAACAAATGTGGAAATTACAATGTCCCAGAATAAAGTATCTATTTTGATATGAACTTTTTCTTTTCATTTTTGCTGTCCAAAATTGTATGTGACAAATAATGTGAATAGCAAATCCATCCATCCATTATCTACACACCGCTTAATCCTCACTAGGGTCGTAGGGGGGCTGGAGTCTATCCCAGCTGACTTAGGGTGAAGGACACCCTGGACAGGTCACCAGTCTGTCACCGGGCTACACTTAGAGACAGACAACCAAGCACACTCACATTCACATTCACACCTACGGACAATTTAGGAAGCCAGAGAACCCAGAGAGAAACCACTCTGCACGGGGAGAACATACGAACTCCACGCAGAACGATCCCGGGTGTCCTCACCGAGACGCGAACCAGCGACTTTCTTGCTGCGAGGCAACGGTGCAAACAACTGCTCCACCTTGCAGCCCTGAATAGCAAATGCAGAGTGAAAAGCATATAGGAATAATGAGTGATTTATGACAGCTGAAATCTAATGTTTTGGGTTTTAGTGTTTTGTTTGGAAATCTCAGTCACTGTGATGACTTATGTGAACTGAACTAATTTAGGAGATGCCGTTTGAGGAAAAACTTATGGAAAAGCAAATGGATATTGAATAATTGAATAACAAAATAATTGAATTATTTGAATTTGAAATACATTTTACTTTCATCAAATATAGCTGGAGTAAATTCAAAGTAAAATGGGAAAGAAAGAAGGAAAATAGCACTATTAATACTATGACACTCGAAAAAGAGGAAATTCACAAGTAATGTGCACATTGTAATATAACTGAAAATGCACTGTGTCGAATATAATGAGGATAGGGTCCATTTACAACAAAGGGTGGGGGACGGGGGACGGGGGAGGAGGCCTGAACAAGGATTGGATTTCGAATTCTTCAGAAACTGCGGTCTACACGTCAAGAAGACGACGAATGCATACCGACAAAACATTAAGCCTACAAAAAAATATATAGAATTAAATGTCACCACTGCTAAAAAAAAAATTTGTTTAATAAATGACATAAAGGAGGCTGATGGTAGTTGAACTTACTTCTTTAATGCATCTATGCACTTTGGAATTTCCATTTTCTTCAATGTGTCAAACATAGAAATGTATGAATGACTGGTTCTCTCTTTGGTCATGTGCAATGGTTTGGAGGGGAAAATGCTTTGCAGGCCAAAAGGGGTGAGTTATAAAACCTCCTGGGTGTGTCTAACCGGATAACAGGCTATGCAGTGAAGAGGTAGGACTGGTTATTTCAGGTGAAGCGAGGTGCTTAAACTTGTAATTTTGACACACTATTACAGTACGGTAGGTGGCGGTATTGACCTATGAGCGGTTTCTACCTAAAAACAAATAGAAGAAGAAGACGCTCACCACTCACTGCGCATGCTCCAAGTAGCTAGGGAAAAAAAGATGGACGACACAAGTGTCTGTACTCCGCTAACTGCGGAGTCAGACGCTTCAAATAACACTACCAGTTCCCCTAACGCGGCTTCTCTCACAGATGCTGACAAAGTAATAAACACTAAAACAGACATTACCCAGGTTGAAGGTGAGTTGTGTCTGGAGCGTACCAAAAAAAATTCAGCCGTCTGTCGCCCTACCTACCGAGCCGACGTTAGCTTTTTAGCCAACCGGCTAGCCAGCTCATCAATCCAGTGAGCTTGTTAGCCTCTTAGCTAAATGCGCTAACGTCAGCTGTCTAACGCTAACGAGCTGTACCGTGAGGGGGGTTTTAGTGTATTAAATCGTAACGTACAGGACTAGTAAAGTGTATGGCCCCAAAAAACTCTAGATTTTTTTACCTTTAAACCAGCTGGATAGTGAAACTACAAATATAGGTAGATCCGGAAATTAACTTGGTAGCTAGTGTCTGTGAAGTCAGGTCACACCCGTAGCAGCATAAATTATCCACATACCGTAGTTAAGGTTAGCTGGTCGGATAGTGAACTGGTTTTGAGAGGTCACAAAATAGCTGTATACCATTTAGTAGTTGACTTTTTTTTTATTTTAAATCTCATTCGACAGTAGGTTGAATTCCGTCACTCAAAGCAATGCAGTGAAAAATACACAAGTGGCAAACTTATAGGAAATATGTGTGCTAAAAGGTAAATGTCGTCAGTTTGGTTGTGACTTTTAAAGGAACATGAGCAGACTAATGCTACATTAACTATCTGGTCCCTCCATGTGGTGGCCTGGCTTTACCGATAGAATTTTTAAAAATATTGTGAAGTTAAGAGTGTAACTGGAACAAACACATACAAGACATATTCTGAGACAGTACCTACAATCTCTGTTCTCTTGTTAACTGCTACTGTGACTATCACTTGGTAAGTACAATATTTGTCATGTATCAGCATACATGGGTATTTTGGGAAACATCAGGGTGTGTACATATTTTAATTGGAGCTCTACATTATTTTACGTCACTATTTCTAGTGTGTAATTGTCTTAAAATACTGCATAGGCGGTACATGACACACTATGTGGGATGTCAGTATTGGGACTGGACATTTTGAAAATCCTTTACTCTTGGGACATTTTTTGTTATTGCAGTTTTTTTATATATATATATAAATTGCTAAATGATGACAAATGTTCACCACAAACATACCTTTCACATCTCAATACATGGTTACTGATTTTTTTTTCTTCAATCGGCTGATTGAGTAAAATAGAGATCATTCACCTTTTCACCACCACTTAAAAAAAAAGCACATTTAACAGTCATATGATTAGCTCAGTACAACACTCCAAAACAGTTCATACATCAAATCAAATAATTCAAAACGTGATGTAAACCTGTTTATTATCAACAAATATGTACACATTGATTTTCACATCAGTATGTTGGTTCATATTTATGGGTGTCATTTTAAAATTGTTTCTAAAAATGTCAAGGTGAGCACAGGTCGCAACCTGCGACTTCACAGTTTTGGAACAATAGCCACACTTGTAGACTAGTATTTGCCTTAAATGATTAGTTTATTGCATGAGTACTGTATTGACTCAGTGTTGTTGCACAATGTTGCATATTTATCAGTGTTAAATAATCTTTGATTGTATCACAATGTTTTAGAGAGTATTAAATGCTTTTTACTTTTATAAAAACCTATGTGATACCTTTTCCAGCAAGTGTTTCTTATGAAAAAAAAATGCACAATGTCTGTTTTACAAAAAAGAAAAAGATGCAAATTATCAGTAATTATTAGTGAAAGGTGAAAGTGAGTGGGGTTATTGAAGCACTTTAAGTGTATTTTTGTTGTTTTGATTTTTATTGAGTTTGGTCATTTTAGTGAGGCGACATGTTTTTCATGATTTCATATACAGGATATATTTAATCGAAGTTATGAAGGGCAAATTGGCCATTCTGTTTCCTGCCTTCTAAGGTTGCGTGACTGCAGCATTGGTGAAACATGAACCTGCTTCAGGCCTTGAACAAGCAGAATGGAGGCAGTCAAGCATGAAATCACAATTTCTAATTCGGTAGCAACTGTGTGCTTCATACCACGACAGGAGGCTGGTGTTGAGTGGCAGCAGTTAAAATGGGCATTTTTACAGCATGTAGGTGGTTCAGAAAATCTAAAAATGAAAGTATCTCTGAGATTATCACTGTCTCAAAGGAGAAAAAAAAGTGATAATTGATGTTAATTACTCTAAAAGTAATGCTACATGGTTTAAAATTGTGTGTAAAGTGGGCGGTTGCATGTTGAGTTTGAGCCTGCATGAAGTTCAGTAGAGTTTATACATTTACAAGTTCACTTATTGCTGTGATAGTACTGAATGCATCAGAGGAGAAACTGTTTTCTGTTTGTTGCGTGATACAGTGCAGAATTCAGAGTTGATATGAAAAATTACTTTAAATGTTCATTTAGAGATTCACCACATCCTGACAATGCTCATCTGAAATTCTGCATTTCACATTAAAGTGAAATATATTTGAACATTTTTTCAGTTTCCAGAGAAAATACAAGTTGATTTGGACAAAAACATCTTCCAAATGAATGTAATGGTTTCTTTTAATTGCCTTTTATTTGTTTTTTTATACTTAATCTTTATTCACTTTTCTTTCCCACAGGAGACAAGAGTGAACCACTAAAGGGTCTCCTCACTGACGAGTACTGCCACGTGTGTGAAGCTGTGCTCTTGTTTGAATCTCAGCGGCTGTCCCACTATGAGGTGTGTGTGTGTGTGTTGTTTTCCAGAAACTAGTATTAAAGCTCTGGCACAGTTTTCTGTACCACAAAATCTGGTGGTTTCATAATAATGCCTCACATGTCCCCTGACTGCAGGGAAAGAAGCATGCTCAGAAAGTCAAGGTGTACCTGCAGGCCAAGAGAGCAGAGAAGATGAACAAAGAGTCTACAGGACCTCAGGTTAGTGCTCAGCTCCAGATTTTACTTTTTACTTTAGGTGCAATCTTTACCTGTAATGATAAAAAAAACTCATGCTTTACATCTATAATAATATGGAATGAAATATGAGAGGCATAGAGAAGTCTCCTTCAAAAGATGTAATGTGGTAGAGCTGCAATAGTCGAGGACATATTCATTTTCCTCTTTTTTGTGTTCAGTTTATTTACTGGATGCATCTATGTGTCTCTCTTGACCAGCCAGTGTTGTGCCTGTTTTTTTTTAACAGTGGACCATAACTACGGATAAAGACCGTTTCTGTGAGCTGTGTAATATGGTGTTCAGTTCCCACGTGGTGGCAAGATCACACTATGAAGGCAAAGTCCATACAAAAAACCTTCGGAAACAAGGCCTTCACCTACCAGGCGAGTGTGGGTTGTGTGATGGAGAAGCATTGTAGTGAATTCAACAGTACATTCTATTCACAGTTTGATTCTACTGCCCATTTCTGCTTGATGGCAGAAGAACAAACACAAATTAATGTGAATTGATTCTCGTTGCATCTATAGAAAGAAACACAGAGGTGCATACTTTGCCGAGCCTCGCTCAGGATCCTGATCATTCTGAGCAGAAGTCGTCCCCAGAGGGTGGTACGGAGCATCTTCTGGACCCAGCAGCCACCACGGCTACTACAAGCACAGAGGTGGATCTAAAGGACCCTAACAAATACTGTGCCCTCTGTGCTGCCTCCTTCAACAATCCCCAGATGGCCTTGCAGCACTACAATGGACGCAAACACCAGAGGAATCAGGCCAGACAGGAGCTGCTCAAAGAGCTGGGAGACGACGCACAACAAGGTAACACGGGGACTTTTCTTTCAGCAAACAGTCTAACAGAAAAGCATCAGATCCTGCAGGAATTCAAGATTTAAGCTCATTTCATCATCACGTTTTGTGTATTTTAAAGCCAGCAGTGACGTGAAGAAAATATTTCTTGGCTCCCATTTGTTCCTTTAGTGTCTCGTTAGACACACTGATCCAATCGAGGTTCAAGGTGATAAATAAAATCAATAGAAGCTGACAACAGCCCAAAAGTCTGATACCAGGACATAAACAAACAACAGAAGAAAACAAACAACGCATTAGTGCCCAGAAATGCAAAGTGATAAACCCAGATGAATTTGAATTTGCAAAGCTTTCTAAAACCGCACTGACATTTGAAACAAGAAATCCCCTCATCCATGACCATTTCATCCTGTCACAGGCAGCAGGTAGGGAATGAGAAGGTAGGCATTAGCTTGACAGCCTTGTTACAATAAACTGATGCTGACAAGACTGAGGTAGTCTAATTGTAGTTATGCTAAACAATAACATAGTAAAGTTTCAATTAGTTAGTGACTGTTTTCAGGAGTTACGCAGAATTTACTGTCCATTTAATGTGGCTGGTTTTTATTTTCAGCTGTAGGCTGTGTACTGTTGTTTTGCAGTAAATACATGGAAATTAGTTAGAAAACATCTCGAATTAAAAAACAAAAAGAAAACGTGGTCGTATATCTGAGTGCTTATAAGCCATCATTTGATCATTTATACCATTTGTCTCTCCTTTCTGCTCCCTGATGTCTCCAGCTGACTCCCTGATGTGTCACATGTGTAGTCTGCAGTTTAACTCTGTGGAGATGTACCAGGCCCACATGCAGGGAAACAAACACCAGATCCGGTAAAATTAAGCATTTCTTTGCTAAACACATGATGTCTCCCTCGTATCATCATTTTTGCTGCATTTAAAATTAAATCTCTGCTACACTGCCCTTTAATTTTCCGATTTAGCTCTTTGTAGTGTGTCCTAGATAGATAGATAGATAGATAGATAGATAGATAGATAGATAGATAGATAGATAGATAGATAGATAGATAGATAGATATTAAAAAGTGTAAATACAGTATAACAATAGAAATAATACTAAAACTGTGGGGTACAGGATTATTGGGTTTTGTTGCACAGTTGAGCAACTATAAGGTCCTGTTTTGGTTTATCGTGTGGCTCCTACATAGACAAAGGAGGTTAGCAGTGTTCACTACAAGCATCAGTAGGGTAAAGCTGCAGTAGTCAGTAGCTAAACTAGATCTTCTTTTGTCATCCATGCAGCGGATGCCATATTGCTCTTTTTGTGCTGGATGTGCAAGAAGCGGGTATTTTGACAGGTTGAGTTACCCTTAGGCACTATGTTGTGTAGTGAAACACTGGTTCTCTAAGTTTGTTATTCTGCTCTCTCTTGGATCAAAAACACCTCATACGACTTTAGTGTGACATCAAAGTACATGTGATTGAACAGCAGCTTGATTGCAGTTTATATGTTCTTTCCCAGGGAGAAGAAGGTTGTTGACCTGTGCAAATCCCAACAAAAAGTCTACAGCACGTTTGCAGATGAACTGGCAGATTACATTCAGGTGCAGAAGGCTCGTGGAGTCAAGACCAGTCAAGTCCTCCCTCAGGGCGATACACAGAAAGAAGGTGAAGATGATGAAGAAGAACAGGAAGGAATAAATGAGGGGGGCATGATAGAACCGAATAAACTTATGCACAACCCTCCTCCCACTTCCAACCCTCCTCATCCCTCCCGCCCTGGTTGTTACTACCCAACTGAAACGTGGCATCCCTCATATCAGGGCCCGCCCTGGGCATCCCATGGCTGGAACTACAACTACCCTCCCCCAGTCCTCCCACACTCAGGTTCTCCACAGTTAGCCAGTCGGCCCATAAAGAGAAGGAAGCACAAAAAACAGTCAAGCTCCTCATCATATTCTACCTCGTCATCAGACTCCTCCTCATTTTCCTCCAGCAGCAGTAGCACAAGTGACAGTGATGACAGTGAATACAGGCGCAGAGAAAACAGGAGGATTAGAAGATCCAGGAGGGAAAGAGGCGGGAGGGGAAGAGATGTGGAGTCTGACAAGGAGGAGAGCAGGAGGAGGAAACGCCGGAGGAGGGAAAGAGACAACGCCTCAGAAGAGAGGAGAAGAGAGCAGTCTGTGGAGTCAGAGGAGGAGGAGGGGAGGAGGAAAAAGCTCAAACATCACGGCAAGCGGAGGCGAACAGAGAAAAAATCCCCGGAAGAGAACTTTGAGGCAGAAAGTAGAGGAAGGGTGACGGACAAATTGAAGCCAGAGGACGTGACGGAGAATAGAAAAGAGACTGAATTACATATCCAGGCTGAAATTAATGTTGAGCAGCGGGAGGATGAACAGGATGAGCAAGCCAGACCCAAATGTAGGAAAGAGAAGAAGAAGACGAAAGGCAAAGTAGACACAAGGACAGAGGAGGAGAAGCTTTGGGACGACTCCATTCTGGGTTGTTAGACTCGGAATAGACTGAACATTTTAGAATTATTATGAGCATGACATGGACATTGAAATGTCAGATACTGTGCATATTAAAGTTATTGAAGTAAACTTAATAGCAGTTAATTAATGCATTTTCATGATCTGCTCTGATAGCCTCAAAGTGTTGTTTTCCATTGGTGTGCTAGCTGGCTAGCCATGTCAGTATTTGTAAGGAATGAATGTACTCCCCTTTAAATCAGTGTGTTTGGAGGAGTTTCAGTTTTACTTTTCACTACAACATCTAATAATATCTTTAACTAAATTAATGTATACAGCTAATTGTTGGCTGTAGTGTTTAGATCTCTTATGTTCTTGCCTTTTATGTGAAACTATCCTTAAGCCCTCTTAACAGCTTAACACATGAGATTGGTAAATTATTTCTATTATGAACGTGTGCTTTTGGTCAGGTTGTGATCCCTTCAGCAGTCTGTGGTTGGCGCTGTTGAGCTTTATTCAGCACATCAGTGAAGCAATTAAAAGCCCATAGATGTTGGAAAGCTTTGTCACTGCGTTTCTTCTGAAGCTCAGCGGGCTTTCATGCACGGTTGCATTGTTTAAAAGAAGTCATTTAGAGATGGAGACGTTCAGCGTATGCAGGACACGTGGAATGATGAGCCTGTTGCGTGCGCCGAGTGTCTGCAGTGTGATGTGTGCACGTTTATGTGTTATGGATGTATGTGCACATCCAGACAACACATGAAGTGTTTGGGGTCATACAGGTGCAAAGTCTCAAATGAGCACAGCGCTTTACAAAACCTCAGAATTCAAGTTCAGAAGCAACATGTGATGAACTGAAAAAGAAAAAAAAAATCATCTTACAGTATATATGAAGGAGATCGAAAGGAAGAAAATTTTACATTCGCAAAGTGTAACTCAAAATAAATGCTGTTAGAAGCTAAAACTGGCAATCTAAATGTCTGCAAAGTCACTAATATGTCCAGATAAGGTAACACAATGCTGACTTGAGTCTGTGACCCACTGCTTAAACTAGTCCTTGCATTCACAGTATTAAATTTGTGGTGACATTCTTGCACAAAATGACAACATAGACACTCGTTAAATCACTCAGCTGTTGACTTTCCGTCAGAGAGGATAAGCAGAGCCGATGCAACAAGCTCGCTCTTCATCTCACCTGTGAGTGAAGCAGTGAATTGTTTTTTTCCTGACCGTTTTCTCCGCAGCTCAGGAGACTTTTTAATTAAGTGATTGTTGAGGAGGTGTGGCCCGGGTGCCAACCACCAGCTTAATGATGACAGTACACGCTGTTCAAAATCATCAGAGATAGTAAAATGGAGAGTCCTGCCACTTGAAGAGTCCTGTGTAGAAACCTATGAGAGCATGAACACACTCCTCCTTCCGTAAGTCAGTCATCTGCTTTATAACACAGAACAGGCCAGTTTAATGTTACACTGGCTTGCATGGTGTCTTTAAAGTGTCTGCATGTGTGGTGGAGATATAAATGCTTTCTCAATCATCTTTTGGTGCAAAGTCACCAAAGCATTTTTTATCAGATTAGACTGCTGAGTTCATACATGCATTTGTCTTGTTAGCCCAAAACAACGGCCTAGAGGTACTAACAAGATGGCTGCCAAGCAGTGCGCCTTGCTGTTGGAATAATTCTGTTATGATCCAATGATCTTTGTGAAAAGTCTGAGTTAATGCTAGAAATGTTGATTACCTCTACTGAACTTTGACAAGATATTCTTAGCGGGTAGTATAAGGGTTTGGGGTTTTTTTGCTACCCGCTAAGCATCTTGTCCTTATCTCAAAGATCAATAGAGGTAATGGACATTTACAGCTTGCCTTGATTACAATTGGTGCTGCCAAGTAGAATTAAGAAACATCTTACAGACTGCCCCTTGAAGTGTTAAAAACAGTCCGCCATGCCTTTTCCGAAGACTCACCTTTGTCATTCCAGTTTTGTATGAATTCAGTTTTGTTTTTTTGTATATCAACTGGGTTTCGTGTGGACTGCATTGTAAAAAAAAAAAAAAAAAAAAGTGCTATGAGAATGTCTAGTTACAACAGCTCATGTGGCATTACATGGGGCTTGTTTGGCATCGGTAAAATAGAAAAAAGCAGAAACGTTATGAATTTGTCACGAAAATACAAGAAGAGTTCGGAATGAAACAGCTTCCTGATGCGTTTTAAAGCTGCTTATCACTGGAAAATTCAAGTGTCTTCTGTTAGTAGACAAGTTGATGTCTGCTAAATGAGGCCTGAGGAGGTTGTAAGAGGAAAGTCAACTGTAATTTCTTTAAAACGCTGTCACACGAACCAAACAAACTGCCACCTCCGAGACACAAGTAGGGACACATGCATGGATAGCCGGATAAAGTGAACGCTAGAGAAGACTTAAGTTTGAACAAAATTGTCTGAGAAATGAAATGAGAGGCGAGCAGCTTTTCAGCTTGGCAGCGTTTTCGACTTAAAGCGTACAAGCAGAGACCAACAAAGGCTTCAGAGCTCAGCGATGTGTAGAGAGCACCTCTGAAGCCCCCCGAAGTCTCCTGTTTTCAAAGAATCCTGTGGTCTCGTTCCCTGTCGCGCTCGACTCTTCGACCCCCGTAAAGCTGTCGGGTGCCCACATCCTCTCGCTCTGAGACCCCCGCAGGACCCATCTGAACCCGAACCTTTAAAACATACAACACAATGCACAGACAGCACTTAGACTAAAGGATCTGCAGTTTTATTGAGGGATTCTGGGAAGAACCAGACATTTAAACAGTTAATCTCCTTTTTTTTCCAGAATGGCAGCCAGCAGAATGAGTACTAAATACCATTTAATGGAGGAAAGTGTGCTTTAAATTAGGTACGCGTTGTACCTCTGTACGACATTGCCACTCATGAATAGCACTACAACACTGACTTTAGTTGATCAGTTTCAATTTTTGAGTGCCACAAACTAAAAGAACTTATTGTATTGAAATTTAGTATTAAAATGTTGATTCACTGATTAGCTAATTGTCAGTTGTTTGTCATTTAGGACAGATAAACATTCAATGGTTACAGGTTTGGACATGTTTACTGTTTGTTTTATCTTGTCATAGACTCGGTACCTTTGGATTTAATATCATTTTATATATAAACCATCTGATTAATTCACAGATGAGCCAGTAATGAAAATAATTGGTGGTAATAACCATAACTGGCTCCTTCCAAAGGGAAATCTTCTGTCGCGTGTTCACGCAACGTGTCTTTACCTGCAGGATGAAATTTCACTCACATATCCGTCAGTCCTTTGCCTGCATTTTCTCTTTACAATAGAATAAAACTTTATTAATCCCTTCGGTACAAGACCTCAGGGAAATTGCTACACCAAAAAACAACACAACACCAACATAAAATCAGCAACAAACAACTTTAGACGGTTTGCTTCTTTTTACAGCTAAGAGGTCTTTAGTTGCAGATTTTCTGTTTTTCTGAAATTTCAAAGTATGTTTTCCATTTGAACTTCAGTTATTTAAGTTTTCACAAGACTGGAATTTAATTTAAACTACAAGTTGAACAAAGAACAATATGCCACGTCAAATTTCAAAACACGTTCAGCTCAGAATAAATAATTTCACTAATAAACCATTAAACTATTATTCAGTTTTTCCCGACTGACTTTAAACTAATTTACATTTTCACATATGATAAATGAGAATATTCAGATTTTTTTGTATTTTTTTTTGTTGCACCAACTACTTTACTTTCTGGATGTTTGTTTCAGTAAACTCCACATGCTGCACTTGAAGTCGTGTCTCTGTGTAGTCCCTTTCTGTGCTCTGCACTGAGGCATGAAGCTGCGTATGTAGGACTCTGCTGAGCTCTAGGTCACGCACCTGGGCAGAGACCACAGCACTGCAAACTGCTGCTCTGGGAACATGCCACTGTTGTATTCTCTGATATCTGGTATCGTGTCAGCTCTCATGAAACGCTTGCATGTTTTTAGCTATATGACATTTATTAACAGTCTCTGAGGTGCAAACAGTTCAGATGCATTTTAGGCGTCATATTTTTCCGCTGTACTCTTTCTGTCAGTAGTCAGTTACTTGTGCTCATATTTTTTAGCAGTGTGTGTGTGTGTGTGTGTGTGTGTGTGTGTGTGTGTGTGTGTGACGGCTGGCGTAAGGCCCCGTCTGATAGGCCCTGTGTGTGTCATATTGGGGTGTTACCTTGACGACTCAGGGCCCTGTCAGTGCAGTTCCTCCCATCAGTTAGCAGGAAAAGAAAGTATCAGCAGCTGCCACTCCAGACACACACACACACACGCTCACACACTGGCGAGCCGACAAAATGATCCTGCTGCTGGCATGGACCCTGTTGACAGCATCACTTTGGAGATCTGGTAAGACCGTGACGCTTCTGTAGTGTTCTGTGAGTTCTTCTAGCGCTCTCAACAACTCAAGTCAGCCAGGGGCCCGTAGCGAGGGTCGTGTCGTTGTCTAGTCAAACTGATGTCTAGTCAAAGTGATGCCTGTTTGACTGAAATCACGGCCACATTCACCAAATGTAGTCCGAGACATGGTTTGTATTAAAACATGAAATGTGTTTTTAAGGGTCCTACAGAGACAGTTTAAGCAGGCCAAGTGCAACGCAGCAGATTTGGTTTGTTTGTAAAAGATTCATTTGCTTTTGTGCTATAATACTGATATATATTGTTATGACATTAATGTTATTTGTACAGTCGACCACTGATATGTGACGATAAATCATGCAGGTGATTTATCGCCTGTGCTCTGAGGTAGATTTTCGTTGTCGTCCATTATGGTTCAATCAACGCATCGAAGTGAACTGTATATGTCCTGTTTAGTGCAACTCAGTGGATGTAGATTAAATCAAACTGATGCATTTGTGAATGTCACACAATTTGTGCACTTAATACATGTTGGTAAGAACAGCGTTGTCACCCCGCAGACTTACGTAGCAGTGAGCCTTTAACCTCCCCACGCAGACGGCCTTTGAATTGGCGCTTACCTTTAGATATTTCATAATACCAGTGATTGCAACAGGTGTATGTGTGACTGTGTACCTGACTTGAAAACACACAAAATAAGCACTGGAGCGGATTCTAAAATAAGAAGGCAGCCCTTTCACATTACATCTGTGTTAAATACCAGTCTCCCGTAACGGCGAAGTTGAAATGTCGCCTTCACAGTGTTTAGATGTATGCAAGAGATTTCCACGCACGTCTTTTCTAATTTAGTTGACACTTTGGACAATAGTTGTGTTTCCATATAATCAGTTGCATTTGTTTTTTTCCTTCCGCTTTGCCTGAAGCACAATTACATGTGCTGTTACATTACAATTAGTCTTTGTCTGGTTAACTATCAGAGACTGCACATTCGTTGCAGAAGGGCTTTTCCTCAGACATTTATAAACACCAAAAAATGAACGAGTTGGCTTGAAATATTAAAACAAGACACGGAAACGCTTTTGAGAAACTACACGATTCTCGGAAGTGGCTTTGACTTGTTTCGGAGCCCCAATGGTCACCATATATGACCCTAGACTCCTTCACTGGCCTGAAGAAGCCGTACGATGTAGGATTCTATGATTTTAAGGATTCACGGGGTTTCTTTTCATATGGAGCATAAAAACCAGTTATCAGTGCTCAATAGCAGTCTCCCGTAACAATAAAGTAAAATGTCGCCCTCACAGTGTTTAGATGTATGCAAGTGATTTCCTCGCACGTCTTTTCTACTTTGACACTTTGGACAGTAGTTGTGTTTCTATATAGTCAGTTGCATTTGTATTTTCTTCCGCTTTGCCTAAAGCACAATTACGTGTGTGTGCTGTCACATTACAATTAGTCTGGTTAAATGTGGGAGACTGCACGTTGCTGCAGAAGGGCTTCTCCTCAGACATTTATGAACACCAAAAAATGAACGAGTTGGCTAGAAATATTAAAACAAGACACGGAAACTCGTTTGAGAGATTCTTGGACGTGGCTTTGACTTGTTTCGGCGCTCCAACGGCCAACCATATGACCCTAGACTCCGTTACTGGCCTGTGGAAGCCGTACGATGTAGGATTTTGCGATTCCAAAGGGTTCACAGGGTTACTTGTCAACCGAGTACATAGAAACAGTTATCAGCGCAATGAAATTCTTAGCTTATCTCTACCAGTATGACAAATTTGTCTGATAAAATCTCAAACACCCCTTCTGTTTCCACTCCTAGGTTCCAGCCAGATCCTACGAGAAGAACCCACCAGCGTTCGTTACCCGGCGCTCAACAGTAATGAGAATATTGAGTGTGACTGTGTCGACAGCTACTGTGACCTTGTCTACTGGTTCCGCAGTAATGTCAACACCGGCAAAGTGGAGTACCTTGGCAAATGCAACAACGCTGACCGAGTCACTTATGGGGATGTGGATGAAGCTCGGTTTAAAATCCAGAAGAGGGGCAGTATGTCATTTGTACTGCGTATCACTGGTGTGACAGAAGCAGACGCAGGGATTTATTCTTGCATCCTAAAGGACAAGAGCCAAAATGACTTGTGGAAGCCGGGGGTTCTTCTTCGACCAGGAGGTTCGTATGCTGAAATCTGACGTACTTTATTCATAGCAGTTAAATGTCAAGTCATCTGGGAGGATTTCAGTACATCTGTCGGATTTCAGGTAGCAGGTGAAGGAGTAAATGATTTAAGGGGTTTGCATTTAACTTTCGTATATCCTGACATCTGTGAAATTACTAAAAAAGTATTCCACTGCGTATCAGGCAACTACAATGTACAGAAAACGTTGCCTCACATTCGCTTCCCTTCTTCTGTTTCCTACAGTGTAACGCTTCCCCATTTACTACATTTTAATAACACTCTTTAATACAATTCTTAGAAATTTTAAAATAATCTGTACTTTACAATGGGCTATTATGTCACATTGTTCACTCTTTCTGCCGTCAAGTTTCCTATAGTTTCTCTCGCTTACCTGAGTGAGCCGGTCCGATAGCACCGTGTAGAATTAGTGGACACGCCAAACAACCTCTGTAGCACTTTAACACAGCAACTGTTGTTTTTTTTGTTGAAGGATTTATACATTTTCAGCTGTATGCCTAGTATATTATATAGTTTTAATGTTGCTGTGTGGCTGGGGCTGCCAGTCTCTATACATGAACATTTAAAAAGTAGAAAAATAGGACCAAAAAATCCCCATATCATGGATAAACATGACATCACAGCTGTCCAGATGGAATTCGTTCATCAATACAGCTTAGAAAGAGAAGAAGAACTGTCCGCCGGCCTAATAGAGACGCATGCGGATCAACAGCATGTATCGTATGTCTGTAGATCTGTAGGTTCTGGTCATTTCTTGTCATGTGTGACAATCTGATATTAGGAAAATTGTAAAATTGCTGCCTTCACTCTTAAAAATTCTTTGCGTTTTTGTTTCACTGCTATTTGTCGCTTGTCTTTACGGTCCGATGGTCTTTATTTGGCAGTGACACCTCCACCTCCAACATCACCGACCAAGACAAAACCCAAACCGTCAATCTGTCGCTGCTCTGGCAAGAACCCTCCACTGGGTGAGTTAACAAGTTTTTATTTAGGGAAGAAGAGCGTACGCACCGGTCTGCTTTTGATGTCCCACTGCTTACAAAATTCTGTTTGCATGTGTTTTACGCCGTATAAACATTCTGCTCAAATGCATATATCTACATGTAAATATATATGAAGAGTTCATTTACAAAAACAGAGAACTCCATCTTCACAAACCTTCAGAAAACCCACTTTTCCGTCGTCTACCTGAGACAATATCAATCCAACTTAAGTTATCTCTGTTTTCGTCATGTCGTTTCTACCAAGTCAGATCCACTCACCTTCAGTCTGATTGATTTTATCTCAAGCAAACAACAACAACAAAATACGTTTTCTGAAAATCTACAAAATTGGAGTTATCTGTTTTTGCAAATGAACTCTTCATATGTATTATTACAGTCATAAATCTTGCACTCTATCAGATTACAATGCTGTTAATGCAACAACAAGTTATGCTAAAGGCTGTAATCATCTAATGATCTACTACACAAATGAAACCATTTATTGTAAATATTTTTGTGTCCTCCTGAAGTCTGTGGCTCGGCGATCTTGTGGCCGCTGGTTGGACTTGTTGCCGGTTTGACTTTGGCTCTCATCTGCACTCTCTACTACTTCAGCCGTGAGTATCCTCCTCATTTAATGCACTAAATAATGAAAAGTCAGGTCGGAAACTGGTTGCAGAGATTTGTGCCGAGCCACGCAGCAAGTTATGTCACCAATGTTCATGAACTATAACAATTCTGAAATTCAAATATTTGAGTTTTTCCTTTTTTTGCTTTCAGGGCTACCGAAAAAATGTCGCCACCACTTTGTGAAGTAAGTCCCTTCCTACAAATGAGCTCTTTTTGTGTTGTGTTTGCTGTATAACCAGATACAAATTTTGATTCTTTACATTCCTTGGACTGACTAGAATCTCTCTTTTGTTTGTTTTTTCTGTTAAGGAAGAGGCAGATGACTTAAAGCGCTGCAGCTGCATCTTCTATCCATCTCAAAGTAAGTACCCTATGTTTATAATATGATGTACGACTGTTAACGTTGATCAAAGTTAATAAAAGTTCCTTCTGTGATTGCAGCGGCTGAAGCGCGTCGATCTACTGATCCGTCCGGTGGAGCGTAAAGGACGACGATCAACTCCCCGAAGAGTCACTCTGCTACCAACAACATGTCGTGTTTATTTACAGTGAAATGTGCCTTCAGCCAGAGAAGAGATTTAAGAGCAGCAGCCATGTAAGATATTGTGATATTTGTTGTATATTTTATAAGACGGAGCTCCACAAAGTTCAACCTCTGCTGTAACTTTTTTGTCTATAATGTGTCATGAATCTGATTTATCAAGATGATTTTTCAGATTCTTTTTAAGTCAGGACAAAACAGCTTTTTTCCCCTAAATCTTATGCAAATGTGTCGTATTGTAAATCAATTCATTTACGTACCAGCATCACAAGGATTAAGATACAGTATTTGCTCTTTTTTTTTCTTTTTTTTTGGCTCTTTTCTGTATTTATTTGCATTTTCGTCTTTGACCTTATTGCTGTATGTATACATCTATCTCAAAGAAGGATGCTCTGTCATTTTTTCTGTGAGTCATCAATAAAAACTGTATATTTCCAATCATCAGCCGTGGTTGCAGGTGAACAAATCAGTCCTTCCTATACAGACAGAGATGTGCCACCTTTATGGAGAGAGTCGTAAATATTCATAGACACGTTTGCAATAAATACACAGAATATGACAAAAATATCCAAGTTGGAGGCCAAACACTTGTTTCTAGTGACAGTGATTCAAGCGACCTGTTCCCAAGGCTTAAATAAATGAAAGGTTGCAAGATAAAAAATTGTAATTTGTTGATTTAAATAAACTCAGTTTTTATTTTAATGTGTTGGGTTGACATAATAAGGGTCTTAATTGCATCAACTTAATAATGTGTAAAATATAAACTCAAATTTCTGCCTTAGTTGAGTTAAAAGTAAGTTGAAGTTGAGTTAAGTTAATGAAATTGGCTGAATAAGTACATTTTTCAGGTCTCCTCCCTTACCCACCTAACATTGCAGCAACTTATTTTTTTTCATCTTCCAACCTAAAATCTTGTTTTATTAATTATGCTAATTTATTACATAACACATACTCTAGTGTTTGAAAGTGTTACCATGGAAACAACTTCATTTTAATCAATAAGCAACTTTACAAAGTGTTTGTTGTATCCATTACTTAACAGGTATTTTATCAAAACCTTTTATTGTCGAGGAACTTAATGTAGTTTGTGGGTTTAATGTAATTTCATTCAAAGTCCAAAACAATGATGCAAACTGTTGCGTTCATATTCATCTTTGGAGTGTGTTTGCGAACTGTCTGATGATTTGTGTGCATGGAGAGGAGAAAGCGAGGTTTGGGAGTGGGTGTCGTACTTCCATTGTCAATATCGTGTTTGGCGGAAGTTGAGTAGGTGAGTGACAGGGTTTTGTTTCTTCTTTTACGTTTGATGTGTAAACTTACATCACATTCAGTTTCTGTTCATCAGCCTCCAGTTTGGGCCCAAACGCCTTCCTGCAACCATCTTAATTCACAGGCTGCCAAGTGTTTTATTTATTTATTCATTTGTGTGAGTGAGTCTCTTGCTGCCTCACTGTCTCTCTCTCTCACACACACACACATGCAAGCAAACACACACTCACACCTGTGTGATTGATGAGCGAAAAAAAAAAAAACACCACTGAGTTAGCGGTTGTTCAGGTCTCGGCGGGGAGAATCGAGCGCATCTCTTTCCTGTGTGCAGGAGAGAGGAGACATGGAGCTATGTTCACTGAGATGCTATCGCCTCGCTCAGCTTTGAGCTCTTCATCTCGTCTCTGAAACAAAAAGACCACAAAAAATACCACAGACCCAACCGCAAGGAGAGACACACACAGTAAGAGAAAGAAAGAGACAAAGAGTTTTGAAATAAGAATAAAGTCAATTAAAAATAAAGAAAAGGTTCTTGTTGCAGCGGGTTTTTATTGGATATAAAACAGTAAAGTACAATTCTTTGGCAAAAATGCATTTAAACAAAGTACACATGATGATTAAATATACATACATGAGTGTAGGTGTTCGTGTAAATGACTAAATTACCATCATAGTGAATGATAAGAGCAGTAAAGGAGCACATGTTGTCCCACATTTACAGTCAAGGCGAAGCTTCACATTCAGCTGCCAGTTAAAAAAAACACAGCAGTCGTCAAAAAGTGCACAAAATTACAGAAAACTAACATAACACGCTCAGTTCGACAGCACCACTAAAGAAAGCCACCAAAATGGCGATAAAGTTCAACCAACACCTCAGACAGTTTCAGGAAAACTGAAGATTAAACGTCTGTTTAAACAGATTTCCTTGCAGGGCAGGTTTAGTTAGCGATATGTATTAAATGTATTATTATTATAATGGTATTGTACTATTATCATTCTGTGTAGAAAGTTTTAGAAAAGAACTTTATTGCCTTCATCAGTTCCAGGAAATGAACGAGCGCAGGCGGCAGTAGCAAGTCCACAGGTGTCTATTAGAGAGGACCCATTTCTGCTGTTTTCTGACAACAAATAGAGCTGCATTTATTCTCAACGCGAGACACGGTAAAAGTGAAACGCATGTAAAGACGACAAACGATACTTTGTAAACCTTTTGTACGCCACCTTTCTTCTGACACGGATATTATAGTCAAACTAAACTAGAATTGTAGGCTTAACACTGATGAGTGCTAATGTTTGTGATTAAAAAAGGTAAAAATATAATAAATACACCAATAGATTCCTTGTTAAATAGTCAGACACACGTTAAACTGAATGTAGCTACATGGTTCTTTAATCTGTTGTTATTTTCAGTTTCTGTTGTATTTTACATAAACGTTGCTATTTACATAAACATGAAATGATGATTTGCAAGAATTGACAAGTGTTTGAAATGTGGGACACCAACACAAATATCTGCACTGCTTTTCCTCAAAAAAAACTCTACATGTTAAGGAATTTAAATAAGGCGCATTAGAGATGTACAGAACTGCTCTGTTCTGTAGAGTGTAACAGAACATTTAAAGACATTAAAATGATGCCCCCCAGTATCATATTAATGCAGTCAAAAATGCTAAAGATGAGTTAAATAAATAAACGGCAACAACAATGTTGAGTCAGCTGGTTATAGTGAAATATACAGACAATATATAGCATAAATGCCTCAGCTAAACTGTAAAGCTACAGGATATATAAAAATAGAACACATTTATAAGACATTATCTAATTTAACAGTGGCTGAGTGAAAACCTGCCTCTGTATTTTGAATTCTGAATCAGATCGGAGCTATGATTCATTGTTTTAAAGTGAAAAACCTCATGACTCGGTTGGAACGGTGGAAACCCTTTTCAAGACATCAGTGACTAAAGCGACAATAGTACTTTGTAAAAAGATCGTCGACATAATGAAATGGTGGCTTTTCCTCGTTCTGTTGTCTTTAGAGGCACATAGCATTTATTCTTGTTTAGTAGAAAAAGAAGTGGGTGAACGTTAACGTGTTAACGGTCGAAGTGATAAACTGAACAAGAGGTTAATGAACTTAGACCCAACATATACACAAATGATGCAACGGAGACATTGTTTAGTCTAAATAACACCTTTTCCACTCCTTTAGAAAAATAAAATTCTAAATTAGATATATTTTTAAAAATTTATTCACGCTTCTGTAGCACGAAATGTCCGTTCAAACTATTTTCCAAGCAACACATATGCAATCTTTAACAGGAAGCCTTAGTAACACAACAAATGATGAGCAAACAGGTATGTGTTTCCTCTCAGAGCTGCACATTTCTACTTACTCCTCTCGATGCTCTCAGTTTCCTTACTTCAACATCGTATCCCAGAATGCTCCGAAGCAGCCGCCAGGGTAGCAGAGCAGTGACAGCTGAGCCAAAGTGGTGAAGCAAATATTCATTTACTGGTTTTCAGGGAGTAAAGAAGTCTCTTCTTACTGCATTTTAATGTCAGCGTTACAGCAGAAAGGGCTGATTTTCTCACTGGCTTCCCCGCTACACACACACACAAACACACACACACACACACACACACACACACATGCAGGTTTCAGGTTGGAGACCCCCTGTGTGACTAAGACAGGGAAGCCCATGCAGGTGTGCTCTGGGAGTGAGTCAACCCTGAAACAGAGACATGGAAAGGTGAAGTGGGCTAATTGAGAGCGTTTTGACTGGGTCTTCCCTTTTTACACCGAGTATCAACAGAATCCCCTGCTTACTGAAAACCACGCAGAGACTGAAACCCACTTGGTTCTCATGTAGGTTTCATAAGACATGAATGTCAGACTCATTTATAAAGAACAAAATCTAAAATTACAAGCGTTTTGAGAGAGAAGTACAAGCGCCGGGGAAAAGAAAACACTCAACAGCACCAGTTAATGAGACACAATATTGCCTCTTTTTCTCTTATTTCATTCCTCGTTTCTGCTTTTCTCTCTCGTCTCCTCCCACCCGTGGAAAAGATAAATCACCCACTAAAAGTGCCAAATGTCAGCACTTGTTGCCCATTACCAAATCAGCGCATTTATTTTCCATCACTGAGCAGGAAACAAGACAAGGGCGTACAGGGTTGCGCCATCGCAGATGTAGCTCTCCTCAGTCGATGTGAGGGGAGTTTCACTTCCTCGCAGCTTTGACATGTAGTGACGGGACACATGAGGCTTAGTTCTTACATCCTTTGCTGTTCTTGGAAAACAATGGGTCCGATTTTTTAGTTTTGGTCATCATCCCTGTTAGTTTTACATCATAGGTCAGTGCAGCTTTACAGCTTGTGCACACAGCTACTGCAGGTGAAAGAAATACTTCTTCCAAGCAGGGGTGTATGAGATACTTATCGACAGTCTGTGTATTACTGTACCTACAGTAGATCGAGGTCAACGTGCCCCCAGTCTAGAGAGGCAGGCAGGAGCATCAGCACAGAAGCTGTGCAATGAAATGCAGCGGACGTTGTCGGCGACCTAAATAAAACCCATTTAAATAAAAGTCTGTGTAAGCTGAAGTGTACCTTTATATTTAGAAATTTGTCACCAGATGAGAAACTGAAGCTCTTTGTCTTTAAAGCCACCAGACTCCATGGACAAAAGGAGTAATTTTATTTTAGTTTGGATCCAATGCAACATGTCAAAACTAAGCGATTGAATCAGCAATAAAGCAGCAAACGTCCACGTTCTGTGAGGTTAAACTGACGGTTTCTTTTAAGGAGTCTTGAAGGAGAGCACGGAGGAATGTAAAAGCTTCAGTTCCCCATCAGAAGCAGCTGGTAGAGTGGTGAACCTATTCTAGATGTAGAGTAAATTTAAACTTGTATTGATTGTTTTAGTAACACACTGACAGTGTACTGCATAATAACACATCTTAAAGAAACCAAACCATCACTTTACAGCAGGAATCAGGCAACAACTTGCTAAACTTTTAAAGGAGCATTCAAGCAATCTAATTTTTTTTTTATTTTTTTGTTTTTTTTAAAAAAAACTGTTAAACAACAGAGCCTGACAGAGCCTCACTTTTAGTCACACGAGTTGCCAAAACAGTGGATTCTGCTTTTCCTGTGACGCAGAATGTTCATGCACAACTCTGATCTGTCGGCCCGATAACAGACGTTCTGCTCAGAATTTGTTGCTCTCAAGTCCGAGCCAAAACAGCACCACATAAAGATGAAAGTTAAACACCATTTTACGCTTTCACTCATCTCACTGGTTACAGACAAACAACGAAAACATCCGAGCGGTGAAGCTGCTGCTGCTGCTTCGCTCTCTGCCTCAAACGCTGATGCCACAGCAGGTGAACACTTTTCTCGCTGAAAAGCACCTGTAGTGACATCACCGATTAGTCTGTGGCCACAAATCCGACACACTTTTCACAGGTTTGGGCTGTGCAGCGGCTGACGAAATTCAGTGGGTTTACTGTTGGAAAAATAACACAGGTCTGAATCTTGCTTTTGCTGCCATCTAGAGGTTTAAACCTCCGGCTTGCTGCAGTGATCGAGGCAGTGTTCTGTTGGCCGTGCAGTGCAGCATCTTACTTCACAAACTTAATCATCTGAGTTGAACTGATCTGCCCCAAACAGACCCAGAATACTGTAAGAATTCCGAAAATAGAGCGATATATCGATTAATCATTCGATGTGTGACTTGTGTGTAGGTGAGTGGAGTGTTTGTGAATTAGAGGCAAAACCTGAAGCTACAACTAGCAAGTGGAGACACGCACAGGAGAGAAGAAGCCACTATAGCTGGTCATGGTTCAAGCTATATTCAGCCTGTGGTGTGCACTATGTCCTCATGTCCTCAGTCGCAGTCGAGGTACCAGTAAAACCACAACGCAGCAGACGCTAAAGGGAAATGTAACGGCACATTAGGGTCTTGTTCTCATTTCCACAGAAAGGAAACATTGTTAAGAATGTATTGTTTTACTTGTAATGTGTCATGTGATGGGTCCTGTTCAGACACAGGACAGGAAACACTAAGTGGAACCCTTTTTATACTTCTAACTCTGATTAGAACCATTTGATTTTTTCTTCCGAGCATCAGAAAGTCATTTTTGGAGTCGTGAGGGACATCAACGCTCACACACAGGAGGGAGGTCAGAGGTCAGAGTAAACCACAGAGCGTCAAACGTGATCCTCGATGCTTCCTCGGGTCGGATTGTTGTGCATAAAGTTTTCTCAAAGCCGCTTTTTGATTTGGTGTGTAAAGTGGGCCGCTTCACACACTTTACATCATGTGCTCAACTTGCAGTTCTTAACCTGTCGTTTTCCAGCCCACACACTGCGCACCGCTGCGTTTTTGTGCGCTAGTAGACGGTGGATGAAGCCGTGCTGTTCGATGCTTTAAACCAGAGGCATCGGAGCGAAGTTGCAGATCGGGGTGGGCTCCACTTCAAAACAGGGCGCAGACCACGACCGTGCTGCAGGAGGCCTCTGCAGCGCTCTGCTGCAATGATCCCATTCGACACGGCAGAGAAGAAGGTTACAGCTGGGGCGTGGTTTCATATCTCACTGAATCATCTCCTGGCAAGTTCCAATAAACACCACAAAGACGCGTTTGCCAACTATTGTCGTCAGCAAGACTGAAATGGACCCAAAATGGATTCAGATTCTGGTGATTCTGGTGTTTTATCCAAGTAAGTTCAACCTAAATAATCAGTAACTGCTATTTGATTTGTGATTTAGTCTTTTACTTTTGTGCCTGAAAACAGAGAAGTGAGTGATTGCTGCTCTCATTTCATCACATCTTTTAGAAATGACTTCAGGAGCTGAAGGGACCAAAGAAAAAACAGTAAAGGAAGGAGAGTTGGTTGAAATCGAGTGCAGACCTCCTGAGTCGACAAACATGATCATCTGGTTTCGAGCGCTGGACAATTCTGGCATGGAATATATTGCATCTTTCACCTCAAATGGCATCGAAAAGTCAAAAAGCAGCAACTTTGATCAGATATTCTCTCACGGAACCATATACAAAAATACCCTAAAGCTGAAGGCCTTCCAAAAAAGTAGAGACAGCGGCGTTTACGGCTGTGCAACCCTTCACTTAGGGAAAGAGCTGAAATTCGGAACGGCAACTCGACTGTTAGGACGTGAGTTTTCTTTTCTAGTTTTGATCAGTTCCTCACACGATGAAGTATTTTTGGTAACACTTCCTATGAACTCTTTCAGAAGAAACAAGGAAAGACACGCCAGTCGGGTCGCCGACCAAAGCGCCCAACAACCAAATCGCAGCTGTGACGCCCTGCAACTGTAACGACAAGTACAAGAAAACAGGTACCAGTTAGCTCTGACTCTGTATCCTCTTCATATTTACGAGGCCGTGAACAGAAACAGGTGGTAAACTGGTGCATTTTCAACAGGAGCAGCCATCCCTTCCCTGTACTGTTCTGTCGTCATACTGGGCCCACTGGCTGGCGGCTGCGGCCTTCTCCTTCTGCTCCTCATCATCACCGCCGTGTACTGCAACCGTAAGTCCATCTGAAATAATCATGAATGATTGACGTTCATACTCTGTCAGTAAAGGCTAATTTAAAATATGTGGTTTTTTTAATACATATAAAAAATGTATTGTAATGAATTTTGCTGTAATATGTGTGCAGTCATTTGCAAAATGGAAATCATGCTTTTGATTTTCTGCAGGAATAAGGACACGGAGATGCCCACACCATTACAAAAGAAAGTACGTTTATTTCTTTATTCAAATCTAATATTTACATTTAAAGCTGTTTTTTAATCTGAATCCTCTCCTCCCCTCAATGACAGCGTGGGCGAATTCGCAGACACTAAAACAAAAGTGTATATTCAGTGTTTTTCCTTTTTTTTTTTTGTAGATTGATGATTTACTTCTTTTTTTTTTCAAACTAAATTTAAATAACAGTTTTGATTCTGTTTTTCTTGTAATAAGTTACAAATCACATATTTCTTTCCCGGAAATTACTGTTGGTTTACTGCGCACTATAAAGGCCTCGGTGCCGTTTATAAGCCGGAACACAATAGAAAAAGTGAATTTTGTATTGATTTAACTACAAAAAACGTACCCACCTACATGCATTGTTTTTCTTTTCAACTGTTTAATATAATTTATCCCAGGTTGCTAAAAAAACACAAAATCCCACAGTGTCCTTATTTGCAGCTACGGTTTAGTTTTCTTCTTTAATTCCGTTGTGAAATATGTTTCCAATTATCTTTTCTTTTTTAAAATTTCTTTTATCTCATTTAGGCCGCGGATGGGGGCTCCAGAAAAACAAATGATGACCAACAGACACGTCTAATCTAAATGGTGAAAACTCAAAGGCATTTGCAATTATTTTTCAGTCGTGTTAATTTTGCAGAAATAATCATTCACTCAATTTGCCAAACAATTTGCGGCCGACTTTAAACGCTTATATTCTGTGCGATAGATAATATAAAAAGTGCTTGAAGTGGTTCAAGTATTTAACACATCAAATAAAAGCTTCTTATTGCCGACATCCACTTTAAACTGCACTGTGGTTTGAAATATACTCTTTAATGAAGATTTAATCTCCACGAATGCGGAACTTGATCCTGAGAATATTCTGCACTGTGATGATTTATGTTGCATTTTCTAATTGCAATTTATGCAGTGATTGTATATAACTATTTTGGATTTTCTTTTCATTTACAATCTGTGCTTTTAAAAGCTCCTTTTAGCCATTTAAAAAAAAAAAAAGCTCTTTTTGGCATTGTCTCTGCTTATTTCTTACAAAAAAGAAATGTAAACAGCTGGAGTTAATAAAATTCTTTTCTGATTATGTATCAGACTCTTGAACTGTTAACAAAAAAGTAATTAAAAATCTTTTGAAATTACAATCTCTCTTAAACCAACATTTTTATTTGACGCGTCATGATAGAAATAACAAATACTATTTTCTATTTTTTTATTTTAATTTCAATGAATGCAGATTTTAGAATTGTTCAACTTTGAGGGGGGTAAAAACAAAAAACACTCAGACCAGCATTCCTTCAGGCTGCATTGAACTGTATTCGTCTTTATTAGTTCATACTTTTTTATTTTTTTTCCACACATCAAACCCATTCATTTGCATTCCCATCAGTCACTCAAGGTCTCGGCACAAAAGTATAATATTTGAGCGAACGACGTTTAGTTTTAAGCCCCCCTTCTTGAGTCGAAAGGAAGTGGGCTGCTACAGCTGTATGCAGAGTGAAAAACCACAAGTCAGGAGCAGAGAAGAATACTTTCAGAGGAGATTCAGTTCCCACTCACTTTAATACACACATACACGGTTCCCTCGCACCTTTAAGAAGACAGTGTTTGGCCTTTTTTTTTTTTTTTCCCTACCATATTTTTCCACATATTAAGGCACTTCATGTTAGTTTCTCTCTTTAGGCACATATCATAGAACCAGACGAGATGGTTCTCAATTTTAGATTTAAAAAAAAATGCACTTAGTATTCCCACATCTATTCATATATTTTCACACCCACACAGAAACTTGGGGTATTTAAAGTGACTTGAAAGCCCTTTGTAAGTTATACAGTGTTGTCTTATATAGAGCAAAAGTGTGTTTTTTTTTTTTTTTTTTTTTTTTTACAGTATACAAATAATGGCAGCTACAAAGCTTGTAACCACCTCGGTTCACTAGGTGCACCTCTGAACGCCAGTTTTTTTTTCTACAAGGCCAAAATACATACTTCTGACAGATATCATTCTACGGAAAGAAAAAGGCATTTGCGAAAAAACAAAAAACAGAATTAGGCAGAACACCTCCAAGAAATCCTCCACATATTTAATAATGTAAACTATGTATTGTCCAAAATAGAAGCAAACTGAGCTGTACACTAGTGTCTTAATGGCATCTGAACACGTCGTGATAGAAAACCTGGCTTCTCTGTGTACATCAAAGATTGCACACACATCCCGATACTATACACGTCCTCCGTCCTTCTCCCACGCGAGCTGACAGTCGCCACTGCTCCGACCAACATCACAGCAGCACCAGGCTGAGACGGCCGGTGTGTTGCGATATTAGTGTATCTTTGGAAAAGTGGAAATTGTCAGCTGAGATGTACACAAACGACTCTCAGCGCCAAAAAACATGTTATTTGGGGGGTTTGCGTGTCTCAAACTCTTCTGTTTCCCTGCAGTTTCCCTTCTTTTCTTTCTTTGTCTGTTCAGCACTTTTTCTCTTTTTTTAAAACCCATCTGGTTTTAAAAACTCTTTATTTTCATTTTCTCCCGAGACAGAAACGACAAAGTTTCTCGCCTTTGAATGTGAAACCCAGCAAAAAAAAAAGGTGGTGCACGCAGATATGTATGTACGTACGTGTGTGTGTGTGTGTGTTTGTGTGTGTGTGTAGAGCAAGTGGCATGAGTATGTCTCGGTTTGTCTTTCATCCAGTATACATTCTTGACGATTTAGAAAAATAGAATAATAATCCAGTGAGCAGCTCCCTCACTGGTGCGTCCCTGTGGCCCGGAGGACAAACGACACCAACAACCTGCAACATGAAACATTCAGGAGTCAGACTGGATGATTATCGTGGCCATGCTTAAAATGTTAGCAGGCAAAATTGTGCATAAAGACAAGAAAAAAATCTTACCAGGCGACCTATCTCTTGCCTCCCTTCTTTGTAGATGCCGGCACAACATCTGAGCTCTGCTGAGCCGATAGCTGGTCAGGGGCAGATGGATCTTCTGCATGGTGTTTCTGAAGCACAAGGTTTTAACGAATGACTTTCATATAAAGAAAAAGAAGAAGCAACAGCTTTGCAGGCAAAACGTATACATATTGGAGGAGTTAACATCAGACAAAGCTCAGAGAGAACAGTGCATCTCATGCTGCAGACATCTGGAGCAAACACCATCCACCGGTTGTTTTAGTTTTTCACTTTGGCTTACTTATAAGTGCATATATCCTCTATGTTAAATATAATTCCTATCCACCTTAATTTAAGTCTTCATGCAGCAGGCGATTTGCTTACTTTAGACTTTGACTTTGACTTGCTCTTGCCCTGTAACAAAGTTGACACCTCGGTTAGGCTCAACAGTGTCGTAGCGCTCCATGAGGCGGTGAGCACTGATACAGCAGCTGCTAGTGGACGACCTCTAGGGGGCGCCATGTGACAACGACCACCAAAAGTGTGCAGTAATCATTAACTGCCATTAGTTGGCAGTAGATTTTTTACAAATAGATGCCAAACTCTGTGAACAGACATACATTTGGCCTGCTTTTGCTCTAACCTGTAAAAGTAATATCATCTGATGGATCAGTCTCACATCTAAAGCAGATATTCTTTTTACCTTCGCTTTGTCTGTTTTGGATTTGTCTGGGAGAAGCGTGTCAGCCAGGGAGTCCAACACAGGACCAGCCATCGGCTAGAAAACATTAACAAATAAAAGATTAGCAAACCTGATCAGCTCTTAATGAACTCAAGAAAATCCAAAGACAGCATTTGTTTGTGATCTCTGCGTGTTTAAATTTCAGCCATAATTAGTTACATTTGTGTTTATTTTCATGGCATGTCAAATGTATAATGTTTAATAGGAAGAAGTTGAAGGGGTAGGTTTATATTTTATTTTCTCCGCTACCTTCAGGGGCTCTGAGTCCAGCACGGGAGGCTGCAGCTTTGCTGTGGCTGCAGATGATGTGACAGCAGGTGCAGCAGGTTTGGGAGTATCAGAGAAATCACTGGACAGGAGGTCCAAGGCTGTTGTGTCATCCATCCCCTTCTGCAGGGCAGAGAACAAACAAGAAATTAACATCACGTCGTATCTACAAACATGTCTTTCAGAAACATTTTATCCCTGCTGCATCATGTGAGGAACGTACCTCTTTGGGTTTTGCTGCCGCTTTTGCTTTTTCTTCTTCCATTTTCTTTAAAATGAAATTGATATACATTAGACACCCAGTAAAGCAACAATGTACGACACACAATAAGTAAACACATGTCCCACTTAACATTCAAATAAACGGCCTTTGAGAGATTTACAGTAGCCATTATATTCATTATACCATTATATCTTTTTGTTTTGCATTTTACAGTGAATCCAGCTCTGAACTCATTAAAACTGCTTTAACTACAAACATACAGCAAACATTCACTGACACTATTTCATGGCTGTCG